TGTGGTTTGAAGAGTAGATGCTAATGTTTTGCTCTGCACCCATCGAAATGTGTGGAAGTGAACACATCATGACAGATTGCTCTGGCTTTTACAGGCACACTTAAAAGCAGCCTGTGCGCTGGCTCCACTCCTCGCATTCCTTCCTCAAATTTACTGGTCTCTGGCGGAGAGGGAGCGAGGGGGAGCGGAGCAGGGCCCTGTGTGAGCGTATGTGTGTGTGTACTGTGTCTGAGGGACGCCCCAGTGTGGACTCTCACCTCACACGAGTAGGCTCCTCTTTTTGTCAAACAGTGTTTACGTTACCGGTTCCTCGTCCATTATCGCTCAAGGCCCTGTTTGACAACGGCGGCGCCTGGCCTAAACTGCGAGGTGATCAAAGATATGAAATTAAACGCTTTCAACATGTGTATTTTACGCTCAGCTTAATGGAGGGGCCGAGGGACGCTTTCCTTCGCAGCATCAAACGGAACATTTCTCAACTGCAAAAATCAAACCCTGACGCATAAACAAGAGATTTATATCACTGGCACACAAGCGAATGTCTGGAATGGCTCTGAAATGGCAGGAAGAAGGTGAAAGAAAGAGGGGAAAAAAGGAAAATATGTGCATATGTGTGAGTGTGTCAGAGAAAAAGGGCAAGCCACACCTCCTTACTTATCTTAACCTAGTGGCCTGTAATCCTCTCTGTTAAATGCTGCTAATTTGGCCTTTCACTTTTCCCCTTAATCCTCTTTCTCATGGTTTTCCTCAGTTTCTAGTAGAGCTGCATGATATGGATTAAATACAACATTGTGATTGTTTTGCTCCATATTGTGATGATGCTGTATCATTATGTCATAATATGCCACAATATGCTTTTATTTGTTCTTGATTAAAAGGATTTAATGTGGTGCAGTTTGTAAAAAAAAGATTGAATGAAATTAATTAATAATTATTAATTAAATTAATAATGTTTTTTTAATACTGTTAGCACTCCTGGTGCATTCTGTCTATTCCAAACCTTAGAAAAATGAAGTATCATAACACATTTAGTGTATTTTGATGCCTATCATGTGTCTCCAGCCCCTGATTGTAATGTAAACTCAATTTATGCACTACTTGCACTCTAAAAACAGGTATACAAACCATATCAAAGCATTTTAATTTAGCCATTATTCCATTTACCCTAACCATCTGCCTTAAGTGAGCAGTGTGTCATTAGCATTGTCATTATCTTGGGAATTTACAGCCCACAGTCAACATCAGTGCATAAATCAAACTTTATTACAAGTCATTTAACATGTTATAGTGTTTTAATGTTTGGAGTTCTTCTTCCAGTGAAAACTCCTCGCTTGCTTTATAGTAGGTAGAAGGCGTTGATGACCATTGATGTGAAATAGATTGGACAGCATTTTTATGACAGAAATGATATATGATGGGTCGACAGTTGATATTTGGCTAAATTATCATATACAAATCTCAGCTAATCACAATAGTCTCTGAATGCTATGTCCTTTATGAAGCAAAGGAGAAACCACAGCGGAACCCCTCAGAAACAAACCTGCAGTGAGAATGATCGTGGCAGTAAATTACTCTGAATCATTGAAATGGTGGGAAGGTGTTACTGAGGAACACTTGACACATGGTAGCATTGACACGTTATCCGGATCATCTGGAAACTGGCTCTGTTTTTATGTCATTCCTGAAGATGAAAAAGTTTTGGATTAAACTATGGAGGACCACTTTCACAATTCAATGTCAAAACTATTAACATATAGACCTAGAGTTACTGTACTTGATAAAATCTAATATTTAAAAAATTGGCAGATGTCTGTCATTGGCTAACTGACAGACATCTGACAGCATGATAAATCAGTCAGATTGGACAGGACTGTACAGTGCTCATATCTGTGATTAAAAATGTGTTATATGTAACATTAATGTGTTTGTACACGTGCTATTCTTTGTTTCGCTTCTTTAAAGTTGGCTAAAAGACCTCATGTAAAAGACAAGAAGTCTTCCTCAGCACTGCCTAGCTCCAGTGTTAGCTTTAGAAATAGCTCACCTGAAGGGGCAGCTTCCATTGCTAAAACCTCAACCTTATTAGACATGAAAACTTGCTGCTTTAATGTGGAGTAGCTAAAAGATTTCCTTGTTTTGATTAATTTAAACATGATTTCTAGAATTCTTTTTTGTTTTCTATAAATTGGCCAAAATTCATGCTGTCAGTTGTCAAACATACATGTCTGCACTAAACATCTTGTAATGGCAGTTTACTTTTTGAATGAAAGCAATAATTAAGGGAGGCGGGACACCGAAATTTTGCCCATTGATGATCAGTGAAGATGCTCACTGAGCAAAAAGAATTTGTTAGAGGGCTCATTTACATATTATAGACTTCTGTGATACTGTTTTAACACTGCAAAGGCCAATATTATGATAATGATTGATTAACAAAAATATATAGAGGATTAGTATTATGTGATGTTCTTTTCTGTTGAAGGCGTCAGGGCACCAGCGGTGCTCTGTGGTGAACTGATTGATTTTTGGAACATAAGATGCTGAGTGTAGCAGAGAACAGAAACCATGGGACACAGAGGTCATTTCCTATTTAGTATTGAGCAAGCAAGCTTTATACACCCCTCCCTTCATTTTCCATCTCTCTCTCTCTCTCTCTCTCTCTCTCTCTCTCTCTCTCTCATGTTGTCAGTCTTCGTCCCCCCCGTCTTTTATTCACTCTTTCATGCTTTATTATCTTGACACTCACCCCCCACTCTCTTTCACCATCTCTCCCTCTTCCTCCCTTTCTCACTCATTCTCACTCTTTCTCTCTCCTTCTGTCTTTCTTCCTTTTCCTCTCTTTCTTGTCTTTATGTAGAGACTTAGCTTTTCTCTGGCTGTTATCAGTGTTTCAGAGTTCAAAGCCTGCTGGCTGCCTGGCTCCGGTGCTGTGTGGATATCAAGCTGTATATCAGCCTGGACTGCTCCACCCAGCCTGATAGAGCCGGAGGTGTCGCTGCCTGGTATCTGTGCTGATATATGACTGGAGCTGCCTGCTGCATGTGTACTGTATATGCTCATAGTCTGCTGTTTACCTCCCTAAAATGTGTGGCCCTTTTTTTTCTTTCATTTCATGTATAATAGAAATCTCTAACAGAGGTGACACCCAGTTTCAGTATCGGATAAAGGCTGGATTGGATATTAAAGGAAAAACACAAACAAAACAAAACCAGCATAAAATATCACAGAATTGCTTGTAGTGCAACATGACAAAGTAAAGTAAAGCAGGTCACAGTATAACAGTAGTTACACATAGTCTGGCATTAACATGGCAACGAGTGGATACCTGTGTGTTATAGTAGAATTACAGTGTCTCTTAACAAATTATAAATATTAGATAAATCAATTACATTTAAGATGATATTTTTTGCAGTGTGGTAGGAAAGAAAAAGCATTATCATGCCATCTGCAGTCTCTGGTCCTGTCTCAGTATGAGGGTTGAGGTGTTTGTGTTGCAGTGAGGTGTGGGGCAGGCTCTGGTAATGGAGCGGGGGCTCTAGGTGTGGAATGTGGTGTTTGAGTAAACAGCAGCGTGGCCATGGGCTTATTTTGACGGAGCGGAGGCCTGTCTGGACCTGCAGGCTGAGGAGCAGCAGCATGACTTTAAGAGGAACCGCACTGCTGAACACAGAAGCCTTTGTGCCTGCGGAACATGTACCCTGTCTGTCTGAGACACACACACACGCGCACACACTCACACACAGATCAGGTTACAGTTCTCAGACATCCATGTTTCTGCCTCTCCCTTTTGTCCCTCTTTCAGTTTTTATCTCCGTCTCTTACTCACAGTCTGAGAGTCTGTTTTGGTCATGCTGTGCCGCCTGCCATGTATTTGACCAAGATCCTGTGTGCGATTTTCAGCGCTGTAATGGAGTACAGACTCTGCTGTTTGGATGGAAGGATCTGTATACTTGTTGTAATTTCACTGTATTTAAATGTATTGATTCTATGGTTGAGTGCCTTATTAGATAACAACACGTTTGAAGAAGTATGATTACCTACATTCAAAACCTCGGCTAGAGATTATTTTGGAATCTTTCCTTCACAGCTGTGTTTGCTGTACTTTCAGTATTGAAAGCCTAGAGTCCCTTAGCTGAATTACTTCCTGGTTTGAATTTGAATTTCACAATAGAAGCGCTGGATTTATATTTGTTTGGCTGTATTTTGCTAAAAGAGAGAGAAGAGTGATCCACCACAAAACACTAATGAATCAGTCTTAAACCTCCTGAGTCAGTCAAGATGTTAATCTGCCGTAACACCTGGGTTCGCTTGTTTAGTCTGTAATATAGACCGCAGCAGTACAACATGCCTACAGAGAACACATTTTTCCAGCTTTAGTGCACCGTTGCTTTTTTTTTTATCTGTATTTAGGATATTAGGGAAAAAATTAGAACGTTAAATATGACCTAAATAAAAGTTATGGCACATTTTAGCTTTTATGTTTAGATTTTTTCTAATATGTTAAAATGTGTGAAATTGTGAACTAAAATGTGCACCAAAATGTCATATTTAGGTTTGCCCTGTGTAATGAATGTGTTAACTTATTTTCATTTAGAAAATCAATAAAAATATAATTCAGCTGAGGGTGTTCAAACCTTTGCAAATGACTGGACGCTAGCAATCAGCAGTTTGGAATCAGTGTTTTCAATAATTAAAAAAAAACATTTTAGTGAATAGTTTGTAATATTTAAATCCACACTGTGCAAGATTTTATTGTATGTAAAACAATAAAAGTTATTAATAGAGCAAGTAATTCCAAACACTAGTGTATGTTAAATGATTAATTGGAATTTTGCTGGCAGTTTAGTTGAAGAGCTGTTGTTGTTGTGTAATGTATTGAACATGTATAACAATATATTATGTGATTTGGCCAATTGCCGATTACACGTTTAGAGTTAATTAGAGTTGTGAATTTTGCACTATACCGAATTTAATGTATAAGGTCTTTGTTTTGTTTCTAGGTGGGCAGAACCCAGACTACATGCTGCATGGTACAGGGATGAAGCATGGCTCAGACCCGAAAAGATCGCAGGCAGCAGACGGCTCTACTGTGGCCCCAGAGGACGCAGCCCGCTTCCTCAGCTGCTACTGCTCGGGCCACTGCCCCGAGGATGCCACCAACAACACCTGCGAGTAAGTTACCTGATCTTTACAACGGCCTTAAACCACTATATCACGCTGCACTCTGCCTCTGTCTGTCTGCTTGTTAAATTCATTACTGAGAGGCTTGAGGATAATGTAGGTGTGTTTGTAGGACCAATGGGCAGTGCTTTGCCATCATCGAGGAGGACGAGCACGGGGAGGCTATCCTTACCTCTGGCTGTATGAAATACGAGGGCTCTCACTTCCAGTGCAAGGTACCCCATTAAATTACAAGATGTTAAAATTAAAACATGCATCTCTTTCTAGGTAAACTGAAAGCTTGGATGAAAGATATGATCCTGTATTTGTTATTTTATCCTATATAGTTTAAAATTATATGGTCTATGGCCTATGTATACAAAAAGTACTACTGGCTGTGCTTGGTGGTGTCTTTATGTCTTTAGACCATGGCCAGCATAAGGAAAGGATATGATTCAATGTAGATTTTGAAGGGGCTCTTGGTAAAATACTTTCAATAGACTTTATTCTATAATCCTCAATATCTAACAACTGTGTCAACTCATTTTATATTTAAAAAAAAAAATATCTAACATAGCTTATCCTTAAGTTTTTGGATGTTGAAGAATGTTATCTTGCTGTTACTGTACAACAGGATTCACCCAACGCTCAGACGAGGCGGACGATCGAGTGCTGTTCCACAGACTTCTGTAACAGAAACTTACAGCCTACTCTTCCACCTCCTATTATCCGAGGTGAACTGGAGATCAAAGAAAGAATGATATCTAGTCTAAACCTGCTCATTTATCTTTTATCCTGTTCATTTCTTCTGATTTTAAATCTCTGTGTTTCTGTGCCTCTGTCCTAATGCAGATCCCTTGTTTGGGAGCGCCCACTGGCTGGCCTTCCTGATCTCAGTGACTGTGTGCTGCTTCACACTCATAGCAATTACAGTTGTGTGTTACTACAGGTGAGATATTGTTTAGAAATACAGTTTAAGACATTTTGTTAGGGACTGACTAGCTTACTTATAGGACAGACACAGGCACACCCACTAAAGGCAGTTGAGATAGGTTGATTGTAACGCAGATAGCGGCGAGAGTTCAATGAGTACGTGTGGGGTTGTGATAAGTAACAGTAGGCGTCCTTGCTGAATGGCACAGTAAAAATGGATGATAATGGCATGCTGCAGCTTGATTGCTTTTGTGTGTATTTGTTCAGGTATAAGCTGCAGACGGAGCGGAGACGCTACCAAAGGGACCTGGAGCAGGACGAGGCCTTCATCCCTGCTGGAGAGTCGCTCAAGGACCTCATCAACCAGTCCAGCACAGGCTCCGGCTCAGGGCTCCCCCTGCTGGTACAAAACAACCTCTACATGCTTGCCATGAGGCTGTTTCACTGCTAATTCTTTGGGCTTAACAATTACTGTAATGTTTTTCTTTATTAGAAGATTCAGTCAAGCTGAATCATTTGAAGATTGAGTCAAGATGAATCATTTGAAAATTTAGCCAAGTTGAAACCAAGGAGCTAGAGTGTTATTACTTTGTTATTTACACATAAATCCATGTGGAATGCTGAAAAATATAGATGACTTAACCCCACGTTCTATTTTTTATTTTCTTAGCAACTGCAGTATGTTTATTCAGCTGCTTTGGTTAGATAGACTGTTAGATATGAAGCCAACATTTACACCTGACCACATCCTTTTTATTCACTTTTGTAACTATTTCATATGTTCAGATTCTAATGCAGCTATTTCAGTAATTTCCTTTTATATGGATATGTCTAAATCACCATGTAAAATCACAAAAAACGGAGTAAAGAAAAAATTATCTTGCTTCCTAAATGTAGTCCAACTGTTGGACTGTGTGTGATGGTGTAATCTCTGATAGTCTGCTGTATTGCTCTCATTCCCAGGTCCAACGCACCATTGCTAAGCAGATCCAGATGGTGCGTCAGATCGGAAAGGGCCGGTATGGGGAGGTATGGCTGGGGCGCTGGAGAGGGGAGAAGGTAGCAGTGAAGGTATTCTTCACTCGTGAGGAAGCCAGCTGGTTCAGAGAGACGGAGATCTATCAGACAGTATTGATGAGACACGAAAATATCCTTGGTATGTCATATTACTTTTTTGTAAAAATGCATCAGTGCATTTTGATACATCAAAGGGGAATACGTGTGAATGGGGAGTGTGGCTGCGTTTATTTTTAAATGTTAGAACCTGTAGAAAAACCCTACTGTACTGCAGTGTTCATAAGGCTGCATAAGCCTACGTAATCTACATGTAAGCCTACGTAACCTACATAAGCCCTTCATGATGTAGACCTTCATAAACATTTCTAAACACTAATTCCATAGGCCTTTGTTATTATGGCTGCTTTTACCTTAAGTTGTCAGGTGACATTATGTTTTCTGACATGAGGTTGTCATGACACTTTCTGGGGTGAAATGACAGACATTATAGGTCAGTATGTCGCAGTCACAATATGACATAGCTTGCCCAGTCAGGCTGTGTCATATTGTGACTGTGACATACTGATGTACAAGGTCACAATATGACACAACTTGCCAGTGAAAGTTGACAAAAGCAGCCTTTATGATAGATGGTGCCTTTAGAACAAGCCTTTATGAATGTTTATGTAGGTTTATGTCAGTTGTCATGACAAAGCTTGTGCATCATGTAGCCATATGAACACTGCCCTACAGTGCCCTAAAGTGTTACCAAATTTATTTTAAACTATTATAATCATATTTAATAAAGTATGCTCTCATTTCTGTCGTGTTTTGGAAAAACTCTAAACTGTAACGAAATAATTGATTAAAATCGGATCTTTGTGAAGTCTGAGATTTACACCCCTACAATATATGTATTGGATCTCCATATGGACTGATTGAAGCGCTGTCTTTACCTGACACTACTCTGTTTTTCTCTCTCCAGGCTTCATTGCGGCTGACATTAAGGGCACAGGAGCCTTCACTCAGCTCTTCCTCATCACAGACTACCATGAGAATGGCTCTCTGTACGACTATCTGAAGTTCACCACTCTGGACACTCAGGCTCTGCTGAGGCTGGCCTACTCTGCAGCCTGCGGTCTGTGCCACCTCCACACTGAGATATACGGCACGCAGGGTAAACCCGCCATCGCCCACAGAGACCTAAAGAGCAAGAACATCCTTATTAAAAAGAACGGAACCTGCTGCATCGCTGACCTGGGTCTGGCTGTTAAATACAACAGGTACACACACATGGACCCATATGTACCTAGGCCCTTTCTGTTTGACCTCAGTCAGTACCAGCAGAGGGATGTCATGATGCTAGAATTTTGTTGCTCAATACTAATACCATGCAATTCCACGACTCTCAATATATTATTCCGTTTTGCAACAGAAAAGAAAAAAAACAAAGTATATGCAAATAAAAACAGGAACCTAGAACTTGGAAAACCTTCTGTTATCGTTGGCTATGTCTGTGTTTACTGCAGTCTCTCATGATCAACATCCTCCTCTGCCTGATACTGTGAAAGGAAAATTATGAGGTTGCAGTAATCAGGTATAGCTGAGTGACTGCAGGCAAACAGCAACACACAATTTGCTACACACACCCCTCTCTATAAACTCTGAGGGCAAGTAGTATTCAGTATTTAATGACATGGTGACAGACACACCATTATTGTGAGTAAATATGTACTTAAAAGGCTAATGTTATATTTAGGTGACACTTGACTGAATGGTAAGAACGCTACAATAAGCTAGTCTAAGACTAGGTTTAGAACTGTTTGACGATACATTATCATGCTAGTTCTTAATGCAGTTTCAACTTGAATTGAAACTCACCTGTTTGAACTTCTTAAATAAGCCTTTATGCCTGGTCTTTCAGATGCTTTGCTACGTGTGATTTGTTTGATTCTTTAGTATGAAATGATGATTAGCTGATAGCCCTTTTTTTGGACTATTTTATTAGCCTTTTTTTGTAACCCAAAGCTCACACTGTGTGGGCTAAGTGCACACATGGAGCACACTAGGACATTTCCAGTACTTTCTATTAGCCAAAGTTTCAACAAGAATAACATTTATTTGTTCTCTAATGAGCCAATGAAAATTATTTGCCTATTTGAATAACAGGAGTCATATATTTTGCTACATTGAAAGTAAGACTTTTTAGCACAATGAGTCATGCATTATTATGCTACAACATTTTAATATAAGTATAGCAGCAGCATTCAAATACAGCATGACTGCATTTACCTCCCTCATGTTATAAAAATGCAACAGAAATTGGCCAAAATAAAAATATTTTATCACATTTGGGGCAAAGCATTTGGCGATTCCGATCTTGATTCCAATCGTGCATCCCTAATTTACAAATATAATTTTGTTATTTCTTGTCAGCTTTTGCTCTGCTTGAAGTAAAGATGCTGAAGAAAAATTAGCACTGTTACATTTTTTGACGTTTTTGACATCCCGCTCACACATACATAAACGTGTATAGATGAGCACTGTTGCTGCATTTGTTTTTTCACAGTGATATTGCCACACCCTGTAGTCTTCCAGTTTATTGCTTTAGTTTAACTGTACATCTAATATTCAGGTTACACACCGTTACAGACCATAACTGTAGGGGCTAGAAAGAAATTCCTTTTTTTATATTAGCACTGATGCATTTGGTTTTCTTAGACAATCTAATTTCTTTCCCTCGTTCCTTTCAGTGACACTAATGAGGTGGACATCCCTCTCAGTACACGGATGGGTACACGGCGGTATATGGCCCCAGAGGTGCTGGACGAGACCCTGAATAAGAACCACTTCCAGGCTTACATTATGGCCGACATCTACAGCTACGGCCTCATTGTTTGGGAGATGGCCCGGAGATGTGTGACAGGAGGTCTGTTCTGTTGTGTGCATCTGCGTGTGTGTGTGTGTGTGTGTGTGTGTATTTTTTATATGTGTATGTGTGTGTGTATGTATATATATATATATATATATATATATATATATATATATATATATATATACATATATATATTTGGATCATTTAATGTGGTACATATTGTAAAGATTGCACAATGCCACTTTTTCTCTACTGATAGGTTGAGTATCCAGATTTTTTTAAACGCAAAAAAATATAATACTGAGGATTCAACACATTAAAATGTTATTAAAAAAACTTCAATATTACCTCTTTTTAATTGAAAAACTTCATGTGAGATGACCATCTAAAAAAGTGATCAAACTGTTGAAGTTCTCTGCTACCCTACGGGATGAAATACATAACCAACAACATGATTTTCATAGATCCACAGCTTTATTTATTACAGTTAAGAAAAAAAAAAACAGAGCTATCGCTTACAGTGCAAAAGTGTGCAAAATGCAGTGTTAAAGTATATTGTAGTTCTAGTATGATATTTAGTTAGCTACTTCATATGTTAAGGCTACATGTGGCTACTGTTCCATGTTTATCATGTAACTTTGATTCACAATGTTATGTTGCACTACAATCATTTATGTGATATTTCTGGCTAAATTTATTACATAATTATATTGAATAACGGTACTGGATCTGTGCCATCTCTGACATAGTTGTGAAGCAGTTAGGGTGAAATCTCTGGTACTAAAAAAAACATAAAATTTAAAATATTTATTGACTTTCTTGCTTCATGCAGCTTCTTTGGAAACTCTCCTAACTATAATACCTTTGACTTCAAAGAAAACTTGCCTCATCTCTGTTTACTTGGATTTGCAGGCATTGCAGAGGAGTACCAGTTGCCTTACTGGGACGTGGTTCCCTCAGATCCATCTTACGAAGACATGAGGGAAGTAGTGTGTGTAAAGGGCATGAGGCCTGCAGTTTCTAACCGCTGGAACAGTGACGAGGTAATAACACGAATTAACACAATGAACACAAATTAATATATTTATAATATATATTTAAGAATTTATAGCTTAATAGGAGAGCTATGCTGATGTCTTCCATCTCATGGAATGGTCTTGCTTCTTTCTCTTTTTGCAGTGTCTCAGAGCCATGCTGAAACTGATGTCTGAGTGCTGGGCTCATAATCCAGCCTCTCGCCTTACCGCTCTTCGAGTAAAGAAAACACTTGCCAAAATGGTGGAATCACAGGACATTAAAATATGAGCAGTATTTCCTCCATATGGCGGCAGAGGGAAATTGACTCCTTTTGTAATATTCATGCTCTAAATATGAATTCTTGCCTCAGTTCCTAAACACAACTGTAGGGGGTGCTGTGGAGCAGAGCACTTCCATTTCACTAGGATCCCTCATCTTGTTGCAGTAATGCTCAGTGTCTGTGCAGCATCCTCTACTGGACAGTACGTGCCATGTCACATCTACAGAGAAACTGGTGCAAGACACAGTCCAGAACACTCGGGTCATGTGAAGCAGTGATCCACGTGCTTCCCCAATGTCAACCATCCACTGCTCTAAGACTTCAGGCACTCTTAGTTTGGGAGAGAATTGCCATATAAAGTGGTGCTTTCTGTGAAAGCCGTGAAATAATGATATATGATGGGTGTGGAGGAGTGAAAGTGAGATGGCACCACATGCCATTGAAGCGAAGGACTGGAAACAAAGCCCAGGAACATTTGGGAGAAAGCGGAGAGACATATGTATCTGAATGGAGGTATTTTAGTGATTATTGCCATCCAGCCAGCTGCTTGGACCTGTGCTACAATGTGGCCATCAGTCTCTAAATGGCTGCTCTAAATATGGACCATGTGCAGCAAATGCCACAGGTGCAAAGGAAAGTGCACCCCTATTTTAAACAAACTCTTGTGTCCCATATTATCATAGGAAAGTAAATACTCCCCTTAACTACTTACTGATATTTAAAGAAATAATCCTGTGAATTTGTCTTTTATGTATTCTCTGCTTTTTAAAAAAATCTGTCAATTTAATGTTGATGTGTTAAGAGTCTCCATACAGAAACAGACATGACAGTAGTTGGATGACTAGAGGTGGGCTTGAAGGCTCTGTACAAGTCCATCCTCACTATATGTTGCTCTTTCCTAAACTGAAGAAAACAATCAAAGACTGACCACAGTCATATATGCCACAATGCTTAGCTATATGCTTTTAAAAGCAAGTTGCAAAAAGGGTCTCTTTGGACTGATGCCATAAAGGAACCACTTTTCATTCCCTAAAGAACCTTTCAGTGGGTCACATTCTTTAAAGAACCATCTGTTGAAAGGTCCTTTAGGGAACCACACGTGGTTCCACTGACATCATACCAAAGGACCCTTTTTGGCGCCTTTATTTTTTAGAGTGTTGGACTGAAGTGATCAGTCATGTGCTCTGTATGAGCATTAAAGCCAGTTTGGTTGCATGTGGTGTAGAAACAGTCAAAATACCAGGCCCCATGTGTCATTTAGCCTCTCCTCATTTTATCACAGACCCTCTATGCCACATGCCACTAAATCACACTACTAAATGTCACAGAGGATCGTCTTGCCAAATCTAATAACATGAGAGTTTTGGGAAAAGTGACTGATTACTTTGCAAGGGAATCTCATACATATATAATGGGATAGAAGAATACGATTGCATGTGCTATTTATTCTAACCATGTCGTATTAAATGAATTATTGTGGCGAGAAAAAGAACTTATAGAACTAAGAATACTGTTCTTGAAACTCATGTACTCTATATTGTTACAGAACAGCTCAACACTAGAAAAATGTACTCTGATTTAAGAGTATTATTTTGCTTTTTTTTACTCTTTTGTTTAAGTTAAAAGCAGTTAAAACCTCATTCCCTCCCTAAATACCAGTACTTCTCTAGAAGGAAATATTGGAGAAATATATATTTTCATGTTTCATCTGACCTAAGAAAACTTGAGCAAAGCTTGTCCCTGCAGATAGTTGGATGTACTTGAGCCTAATACGAACACTAACAAAATAACAAAGTTGTTATTTACAGCATTAGCAGTTGCAAGAAATATACAGGGTATATCAATCTCAGACGAATAAAAAATGAAATGGTATTGTGCTCATGCATTGTGCAGTATGCCTAGTTAGCCCAAATTACTGAATATCAGCAGTCCCTTGATTCAAAACTTCAGTTATTCCCTCCAAGATAACCTACTTCACTTAACTTTTTGCCAGAAAGGTGCTACGGTAAAAAGGTTAAGTGACAGCATTGTGTATCTGCGGTCGCTCTAGTGATTCTGGGAAAGGTAGTGCATGAGAATTCTGCATCATGGCACTGTTTAAATGTATGCATTTTCCCAACCAGGCTGCCCATGCAATCCATGTGTAGATGCTAATACACAGCATCTGCACATTCAAGGTCTGTCTGTTGCAACCCATGCTGGTCACCCTGTTCTTAATGAAAATGTCTTGTAGCCAGTAGAAGCTTATCTGTATAATTAAATAACTACAGAATCTGTCATGTTTGTCTTACATGTCCACTGTGCAAAAGAAATGTGTAGAAAGGCCTGAAAAATAATTTTTGTTTATATTCTGTACAGCATCTGAGTTTAAGAAAGGTGCCTTATGTTTACCAAGAAAAGCTGTTCTGTATACAGAATTTTGTCCAATGTATCAATTTTTAAGTAAATTACATTATTTTAGTATGCAACTAGTGTTGTTCTCTTGACTGATCATGTGATGTAACGTAATCCAGAAAGGCTAGAGTGGATTATTAACGGAAATGGGAACACTACAGTGCTATTGTAGGCTGCTATATTGGGGGTTGATTTTCCTTTGTTGTGACTTGTGAAGACAGTTAGTGATTAGTTTCATCACTTATTTTCTAACTTTTATCCTCTAGTTTCTGATCATTTCGAATCTATCAGTGCCTCCTGTCTTTCAGCATTGTATCATTTCCAAGTGTGGGCAATAAGGTTCTGATTCATGGTTGACGGCATCCCTGTTCACCCTTTACCTGAGAGATTGCAGTTAAGTTTCGGTCAAGGAATTATTCTGTGATACACAACTTGCATCCTTTTCTAGGGTTACCTTTGTCCAGAGATTGGTGAGCAACCTCAACAAAATACGTGTGAATGATGTCAGTGGTGCTGTCTTGCGTTATGACCCCTCACTGTAGCTGTATAAGGCCTGTCCATTAAGGTCCATTAACTACTACTATTAATATTAGTAGCATAATAATTTTGTAGGTAGTTTGACCAGAGGAGGATTGGTCCCCCCCTTGTAAGCCTTGGTTCCTCCCAAGGTTTCTTCCCCAGCTCTGAGGGAGTTTTTCCTTGCCACTGTCGCCCCTGGCTTGCTCACCTGGAGGATTTACATTTCATGTTAAAACTTTGTCCTTAATGGATTTCTGTGAAGCTGCTTTGTGACAACATCAGAAAATAAATTTGACTTGACATTACAAATGGACCTGCATGGTTGTTTTTGCAGGTCCACAAATGGCCACAGGGGGCACACAATGAGAGCAAATCTGCCTCTAACAAAGAAACTAATGTCTTTGGTATCTTTCGTAGTTTTGGCACAGTCAAGTAGTAAATGGTTTAGTAAAGCCCAGTACACAGTAAGTCTGGGTTACTTCTGCTTAGATTTCGGTCTCAAACCTAGTCCTGTTCACAGTCTGTCCTTTTCCTCTGTGTTGAACAGCAGAATCCCAGATAAGGTGTTATCATTAAGCTGTCCTTGCCGCAGTCTTCCCTTGAGCAGCTCCAGTGTAATTTTCTCCCCTCTCCGAAGCTCCAGGAGACACGCTTGACTCAAAGGCCCTCCCTCCATCTGTACCTGTCTGAGGGAGGCCACAGGCACCATGCCATGCTTTAGCTGTGCCAGGCAGGGACCTTTTTCAAAGTTTAATGTCACTAGAAAGAGGTAGAGACCAGTCTGAGGTGCATGAAATTCCCCTGATGAAGGCTGGTAAGCGTTGCCATGGTTTACATCCACCTTCTCGGGAATAAGCGTGCCTCTTGTATTTGTCCTGTGTTGCAAGCTAGTGATGAATGCCACAGGAGAATATGAGGACCCTGTGGAGGTTGAATGATACAGGATACGAGAAAGATTGTATGTTAGTTACCAAGCTGATTTGCTTTGTCATGTTGTAATCTTAGCCTTGTCCACATGGGGGCAGTCTTGTAAAACAGTTTCCTTAATAACACATTAATGCCAAAGAGACTCATTTCATTAATGTTTTCACACATAACTGACAATATATGAGCTCTAATAATGTTACCATTATTATACCATTACAGACCTGTAATAATGGTTGAGAAGAGTGTTTATACCTGTTCCAGTGTTTCTTTTTCTGCGTATGCTGCTTGACTCTTCTTTCTCCTTCATGTTCTGTCCCTTGTTTCTCTTCCTATCCTTCCTCCTAATCATGGTCCACACCTGGTCCAAGTCCAGACTGTGAGAGGAGCTGGCCAGCTGTTCTGTATAACTAAACAAATTCTGGAATATTCTTAGATGATCCCCCAGAGCCTGTCGCAGGGATACAACCTCCCTCTGCAGTTCCATCACTGAGCCACCAGGGGCTGCAGTGTAGTTGCATTGTTGCTGCTCCAGCTTGCTTATCCTGTCAGCCAGCTCCTCCACTTCCTTCCCCAGGCTCCAGAAGTCACTGACCGAGTAGTCCCCATCCTCTTCCCCTGTGGACGGGCCTGGTACAAAGGGATCTTCCTGGTGATCTTCAGCATCCCTTCCCTTGTCCTCTGTGAGGCTCCACTCAGAGAATGCCACAGGGTCGTCACTGGTCATTTGATCCTTCTCTGGACTGCTCCTTCTCATAGAGGTCAATCTATTCTCATGGGTCTCTATTTTGTCTTGCATCAGCCTCATTTTCTGCAGCAGAACTGGAATGGACAGTTCTTTCTGCTGGCTGTCAGACCAGCTCAAGAACTCCATGACCTCATCTCCTAAAAGCACCTCCAGAAACTTCAGCGTGACGGGTGGCATCCTTTAACAGGGAGGAGAACGATGCAGAGAGATGCCTGATTTCCGGTGCCTTGGCCACGAAACTCTCCTTCAGCCCAAGAATCTCTTGTTGGCTTCCCAGGAGTGAGGCTTTCAACTTGGATACATTGTCGCTGAGAGTCCGGCTCTTAGCTTGTTCAAATGCCAGTGATTCCCTCATACTTAATAAGGCTTGATGAAGATCCTCAACTTCAATGGACCAATGACTTTGGGCTCTCATTGCCTCAGCATCCTCCAGAGCATACTGGTTCTTTTTGGCCAAATCTGTCACATTAGCCACCTTCAATTCCAACAAAATCAATGACTCACTGATTTCTTTACAGCTACAAGCTTCCGCTGTTGTGGTGGGCTCATTTCTTTGAACTTGCTCAAAAATATTGTCCAGGTAAAGTTCAAGCTCTCTCAGTTGCCTCTCTTGGCTGCTGAGATTAGAAGCCAATTCGTTGATGCTGTTGAGGGCAGCCACTTTAGCTGCCTCCAGTTCTAGCCCAGTCTCTGCAAAGTGGATCTCTGAGCTTTGGCTGACCTGTTCCAGTTTTGCACTCAGGTTCTTTAGGCAGTGGTCCAGCTTCTGGGCAGCACTCATAAAGTGTGTGGAGTTCTCAGACAAGTCACTGAGCTGCATAGTGTTATTCAGCACTTTTTTGTCCAATCTACTGATGGCCTCCCACACACCAGGCTCCAGGACTGGCTGGCCTTCGCTCACACGGACTGAGGGTGCATATTCTTCCTGCTTTAGCCCCTCCAGATTTTCCTGACCAATTCTCATTTCCTCCACTGATTGACTCAGAGACTGGAGACTCACCTAATGGCATGACAACAAAAAGATGTACACTTAGATTTACTGCAGTTGGTCATTGTCCTTTTCAATAGATGGTGAAACCTAGAAATTGAATGAACACTTTAATTATAATGTTAACTGTGTGTTACCTGTATTTTCTCATGGCTCTTGTTCATATGATGACCAATTTCTTCCTTTATGCTTGTCAAATTATACTGCAGCACCTTTTGTTGGGACTGTACTGTTTCTTCCATCTGTTTTTGTTGTGAGTCCAACTGTGTCTGTATTTGGCGTATCTGCACAAAGCTGTCCTCTAACTTTTCCTCAATTGTTCCAGTGCGAGTTTGTTTACTGCTGGACATGTGGCCCTCCTGTCCATGCCTCAGCTTCTGCAGATCCATAGACAGGTCTTCAACCTCACTGGACAAATGCTCCAGGGTACGATTAAAACCCTCCAGCACTGGTTGAATCTGGGTCATCAGAGCTGCAAATATTTGATGGGCCATCAAGAGAGTGGTAGAATCCATGAAATGCAGAGAGGCAGGAGGAGGAATTACCCCACCAGAACCTACAACAATACATTGATAGTCACTAACCTTATTAGCACTGAAAAATGCAAGAGAAATGTTAATACAAGGAAAGACTGAACTTTGCAGTGTTTTTAGCACATTTGCACTTTTTCTTTGTTGACATTTAGAACAGTCTAATTTAAAATGACTTGCTCTTTTTATATCAGAGTATAAGACAGTTGTTCAGTTCTCAGACTAGAACATATGTCCTCAGCTTGAGTCACAGCTGCGTTAAGCCTGAGCTTTTACTACCACTTTTTTTGCAGTAACTTTCCCACACAGCAATTTCAGATTCTTGCTTCCTGTTGTTTTCAACAAGAAGTAATGGTTACAAACAAGATTAATTTAAGCAGTAGAAACATGTTTCTGTTTCTTTTTTGGATGGATGTCCGGAGAGCATTGCAGTCATTATGGGCCTCCCAAGTTATTCTTCCAAACCACTTCCAAAAAAGGTAATTTTGCAGCTCAGAAGTCTTTTGATCTGTGGTGATTTCTTGGCCTTCTGCTTTATTCTCTCTTCCTTCTCCATAAATCTCTGCCAGGTCACATCACTCTGTACTATTCTTTACCCATCTTACCCAGTATTCAGCATGTTCTTAAACATTATCTTCCTTTATGCTTAGGTTAGTATTTCTCACCAGTGTCTCCTGGGACAGGAAACACTGGGCCACTGGGAGGCTGCTGAACTGGACTGTCATCCCAGCCTCCATCCTCAAGCAGGTCAGTCTCCTTATCATCTACAGGGAAGGATGTGTATAGGAGTAAGAACAGGAAAACAGCCAAAATTAAAAATTTGGATATGTTGCATTCATCACTAGCTTCTGGAATTGTAATGTCTGGATTAAAAAAATGTTATCTAAGATGTGCTGCCAGATATATAAGTTGTGGAGAATGTGATTTAGAATGAGCTAAAAGACATTGGTGATGAACCCCAAAACAGGAAAGCAATAGAAGTCAGCTACTGAAGGATTTTGCAAATAAGGTATGAATTTGAAATTAGTTAGCTTTAGAAATGTTTGTAACATTTGTTAAAACATTTATAAATATAGATACATCAGTTGTTGGGATGTTATGCAGTTTGCCAACAGTTAGCAAGCCATAACCAGAGTTAGTTAAGTCAAAAGTTTTCAAGCATAATAATATAGTGTAAAATCCAATGACATAGTGCCACAGTTTGTTAAATGCAAGATTTTAGTCAGTGGACTCAAGCAGACACGTGTAAATATGCAAATATTAAGGGAAATGAATTAAATAAATGACTCAACAAGCACAAATGAAAGAAGGAATAAGTAAATAAATATGTATATATATTTCAGCTTGACAGTATGCATATATTAGAAAACAAACAGCATGCTTTTCAAAAATGTATCCAAAAAAAAAAAATCTTTACAGAATAAAGCTAAAAGCTAGGCTATGACAAGCAATCTGCAAACTTAATGTAAACTGTTAAATAGACCAAACCCAAAACTCCAAATGCTTGGTAGTGAGTGACCATCTGTCCTCACTCTTATATTAACATTTCTAACAGCTGTTGAGGACTGTAGAACTAATGATCAGTTTTGTTGATTGATTTTCTTACACGTTAATTAAATAGATGATTTAGTAATGGTTTTATTTTGATGTTTATATATTGTCGCTTCCCAAAAAAAATAAGAATGGTAACTTTACAGGAGAAGACAAAATCGTTCTGAACTATTTACGTAAATTAATGTGAAGAGATTTTATTCCAAGTCATTTCTGATGGTCCATTTGTCATTAAATTATCGCACAATGTAAAGGGCAGCTGCTGTGCTAAAGTGTTGCAGATACATTAATGATAGGTTTTTTTTTTGTTTGTTTTTTTTGGACAGCGATATGTTTTGCATAGCTGGTCAATAAGCTGGTCAATACACTACATTAATAAATAAGTTTTTCTTTTGCATAAATGATTGATAAAGATGATATTTATAAGTTTAAGATACTAAGGGCCAGTTTCATTTGACATCTTTAAAAGGTCAAATATTTTAGTGACAGTTTACTCCTACACTCTTGAATCTAAATTCTCACATGCGTTTTTGCTTGTATGTATAGTTCTAGGAAAAAGCTTTCATTGCTATAATCTTTACATTATCTTTCGACTTTAATAATGTTTTTTTACAAAAAAAGTTTTTTTTTTTTTTTAAAGAACCGTTCACTGAAAGGTTCTTTAGGAAATCAAATGTGGTTCTTCTGTGGCATCTCTCCAGGGAACACTTAAGGACACCTTTACATTTGAGGGGGGTGTAATTAGCTAAAGGACTATACATTTAAGTCTTGCTCACTGGTAATATAAATGCTTGTGTAGTTAGTTTTCCCTTTCAGCTACAAGGATGCATTTTTTGGAGGATTAAGTTGACTTTACATGCTAGGTCTGCTACATGTTGTTCTTACACTGCTTTTTTTAATCATTTTGACTATGTATGTGTGAGTGGAAATCTCCACAGTTTCCTATAGATACTGCTGTATAAAACACAGCTGTCATCAGCCAGCCAGAATTTGACCATTTTTCCAGAACAAACTGCCAGGCCAGAATGGCGCGCTATTTTTATGAGGGTCTGTTGTGGTGGTCCACTATTTAAGTGCAAGCTATATTAGAGAGTAAACAGTTGAGGGTTAAAAATTGTGACACGTCAAATTCACATGGGACGTTAGGACCCCCAAACCCACACATGAAGCAGAGGTGTCGACCACCCGAGTGAGCCATTTTTAAATGGAAAATATTTTTCATAATTATTATTTTAGCTCTAAAAATCTCTTCCTGTTAGATATTTAGGATCCATGGAAAACACAACAATGCCTTTTAAAGTCATTAAACTTATGGATTCCTTTCGTACTTTATATTATTTTGTATGATCCTGCAGTTTGTCCTGACCACAGAATCTCTGAATACCCAGAAGAGCAGTGCACCCTCCCTTTCCTGTTTAAGGACACTCGCAGGCCCTCACAGAGCCAGAAGCTTTTTGGGTATTTCCCTTGTTTGTCAAGGCCAGAGGCTTGGATTGTTGAAAAAAAAGCAAACTAGGAATGAGGGGTGAGTTTTAATGGGTTAAAGTTCAAAGGTGAGACCATTCCTGCCCATACCAAATGCTGGACACTTGCCTGAATCATCAACTCCAGAAGTGTCTGTGTGAGTTCTTCCTGTGTGTTCCTGACCAGCCTGGTTTTCATGCTCTGTAAGGTTTATTGGAAGAGAGTGTGGTCAAAAACACCCGTTAGGTTTTCCTCTGAATATGTGTTGCAATTTTGTAGTTCACCGTTCAAGCTATGAGAAAAACAAAGAAAGAAAATCACCCATATCATGCCCTGTGGTTAGCCTCTGTGTTTTGTTCTGGATATATTTTTGCCTGGACATCTCTGTGTCATTTGAATTATAATGTTGTTTGTCAAAACAAGAATGCTACATGCAACCGAACAGCCAACAAACTAGCAACCTTTGTCAAGTTAAAGTCCAGTGGTTCTGACAGTAGCAGGCTAATTAGAGTAGGGGTGGTGTTATAGTGTAATAGTGTTGAAGTCCTGTACAGTTATAACTATGTGGCATTATTCATATTTCAGCTACTCAATGATCTCATAAGTCAGAGAACTCTGTGAAATCTCAAGGAACTTCCTTATTTGGGCATGTCACAAACTACAAAATGACGCACAACCTCAGAAATCTACTATAAAGAGTATGCATTAAATGGATCATCATTCGTAAACATGGGCTAAATACAGTTAACGTCATTTAAAAACAACCTGACTAATCTATGATGCCACAATCCATAATACAATATTAGGTAAGCATAGATGTATAGTATATTATATTATACCTGTCTCCTGACAGTTGTGGCCTCCGTGACCTGGGCAGCACTTCCAGTGCAGTGCAGTGAAAATCTTCTGTTTTTGTCTGTACACAGGCCGTGAGGAGAGCTGATACCTGAACAACATTATATGCAATATATTTATGCCTGGAATAATAGAATAAATATAGTACAAGTGCAACGACATTCAGTTTATAACTCTCATTGTTTGAATCGTATCCCAGATAGTAATAAAGAGTAAAACCTAAAAAACAACAACAAAGAGTAGAATAAGATTAAAAATATGTATACTATAGTGAACAGTTTAGATCAGGGCTGCCCAAAGTGTGGCCCATGGGTCAAGGATGGCACATGTGGACGATTGATTTACCCTACCAGAAAGTTATCCTTATGCCACTCCTTTCACCCAATGACAGAACAAACATATTTTTATACTTACTGCAGTTTTATTTTCCTCCTAAAATTCTATTTTTTTTAAAGGTTTTAGTTCTAAAACATAGATCATATAGATTGTGTTCTAAAACACACTTTTAAAAATATGATTTGAAACATACCTACCTTTTTTATTTGTATACTGTTTTATCTTTTTGGCCCACCATAACAAAAGGTTATAACCCCCTCCCCAAACCCAGTTTAGACACACTGGTTTGAATGTATCTTATAGACATTTCATCTAAATGCTTATGTTTAAATGCTTAAAATATTGTTGAGTAAATAAATAAGTTCAAATGGGTTTATTTCCAAAATGAGTTTTTAATGTATTGTTTTCTTTTTGGAACGCTTCACAAAAAGTTTTTTTCAGCAGCCTTGGCATATGTGGAATTTCTTCAAGACTGTTGTAAAACATTCCATGTGGTTCTTCATGAAGCCTGTTAAGAGAATGAAAGAGTGCATACAGAAGACATCAAGGCAAAAACAGGCTACTTTAAATAATCTAAAATAAGACATACTTTTGATTTTCCTTTATGGTCACTGCATAATTCCATATGTGTTATTTCATAGTTTGATGCCTTCACTTTGTTTATTCCAAAGTGAGTAAACCAGTCGGCTAAAATATAAGGTACATCATTCTACGAGTATGTGTGTCTACATTTTTGACTGGTAGTGTACAAGACACTAATCCATATGCACATGGGTTAGCCTAGATGTTGAACACTGTGCTAAGCTGCAAAATATGTCAGTATCAAAAGTGCAGTAGGTGCTTTGTGTCCCTCGGTACTGTATACAGCTTATCATTCCTGGTGTTCAATAGTTCAGAGTCAATGAGAGTAAGCAATGTGTGTTTGGGGGTGGGGAGAGGGGGTTAGTAATGCCTACTGAGATTGTAATAGTTGATAAGGCTAATTTCAGTGACTCACTTGGATATTTGGCAGTCAGGGTCACCTTTAGAACAAGGATTCACTGACTTTTGCGTGTACGTCTCAGTGCCACACAGCACAGCCATGGTCACCACACGCTGACGAACAAATGCACACCAGTTTCTGCATGAAGACAAGCATAAAAGACACAATCAGGATTAACAGGATGAAAGAGGAACAGACAGAGCAGATGAGGAAGATGAGAAGTGAGATATGACAGGTCCCTGACAGAGGAGAGATAAACAATAGAGGACGTGCACTCTCAGGGTCCAGCCTTTTCTTCCTTCCCTTTAAGTTACAGGGCAGATACTATCAGTTCGCCAGAACCTTGAAAAGGGGTTATTTGTGCCCTCACTACTTGTGTATCTCTGTATCTCGTTAGAGAGAGAGAAAGAAGGTTGATACTGTGCTGAATTAAATGATCTAGTCTATAAACAAAGCTCTCATAGTAATGCACATTGCCTAAGAAGGTATTGCAGATAATCACCAGAGTGTTTTATTGTGGAACATAGTGTATTGTGCTGTCAGATAATACATAAACCATGTGTTATTGAATAGAGTGTTGAACTCAAGATCAGGTCAGGTTAAAGCTTAGGGGACACTGTTTAACTACAAATGTATTTTGCTGTAAAAGCAGGATATTTTTCCCTGTCTGCCTCCCTCCCTCTTTCTATCTATTCCTCTCTCTCTCTCGCTCTCTCTCTCTCGCTCTTTCTCTCTCTCTCTCTCTCTCTCTCTCTCTCTCTCTCTCTCTCTCTCTCTCTCTCTCAGAGTCCTCCCCCACTCCCTAAAGCAGACAGTACTTCTAGGTCAGGAGACACATGTGTCCCCTGTTAAGTGGGGGGAAAAAAGGAAAAAGAATACATCTCCACATACAATGGGCTTTGTTAGTGGAAGGAAGTTTAATACAGCCACCCACACTCTGTCTCTTATTGCAAGCAGTTTTTTCCAACAGCTACCACTGATATGCAGGATATCACACTTAAATACTGATGCACTCGCTCCCCACCAGCTTATAGCAGCCTGTGCCAGTCTCTGTGTAGATGCACACGTCAAAAATCCTTTTAAACCAGATAATTATCTAATGCATAATTTTTATATCTCCTTGGCAGAAACATCAAACAGCTTCTGAAATGAAAAATTCCATTTCCTCTGTCTGCCACCTTGAATCACATCCTGTATATTTAAGGCCTGTCTCAATTCCGTCATCAGGGATTCAGCTTTGACCTGAATATGCAAAGCTGATTTTTGCCCTAATGAATATGAATCAACATCAGACTAATTCACTTTTTCGCTGCTGGCCCCCAGACATATGATTGCTCTTTACTTTGGTGTATAGCTTGCAAGTCTCCTTGAAACGGCTAAACACACCGTTTAACTCTTAACAATGGACTGTCTTTTCACACCTGTGCTGCTCTTAATGTTGCTTTGTCTCATTCTTTATATGCTCTATGCCCTTATTCGAGTTGCCCACACCTGTATGTCCCTCATCAGTCCACTTCTCTTTAATCTTCACTCCTTTCATCTCTCTTTTCTTTTTATCAATTAATCTGTCTTTAAAGACATCTCTTCCTGACCTTTCTTCGTGAGTCATGTTTGGGCGCATCCTCTGGTTTGTGTTGGTCCAGACTCAAAGGCGCTGTGACTTTGCATCAGTTGCTGCCCTCTGCCTCTCGCTTACACAGTCACACTGAGCATGCCCGGTGCGGAGCAACTCCCTCTGTGCCTCTTCATTCACAGCACCTCATTCTCTGTTGTCAGGAGAGTGGCCGTGAAGGTGTGTGTGTGTGTGTGTGTGTATGTCTGTGTGTGTATGTGTGTGTTCTGAAACAAGACAGCACCCCAGCTGGGATTAATAAAGGTTATAGAATTATAGAATGTACAAGACCACCAAACAGCCACACTTATCTCCCCAAACGCTTAAAAGCCTCAGCCATTCTGGCATTTCATTACACTGCAAGGCCAAACCACCAATCCTGCCAAAGCCTTTCACTTTCATTATGAAACTGGACCTTGTGTGTGTGTGTGTGTGTGTGTGTGTGTGTGTGTGTGTGTGTGTGTGTGTGTGTGTGTGTGTGTTTATATACATTCAATAAAATGTACTTTCAATAGTTCAACATGAACCCGAACAGAACATCATGCAGATGCAGGGTGAAAATGATTACATGTGAAGACAGTTTCCAGTTTTTATCACTGGTGCCTTGTGAGACTGTTAGTAGTCACATGTTCCAAACTTGTCCTCCTCTGTAATCATGGTTCTCTCACTTTCATACTGCTGTTTTGAGGGGAACTGGAACTTTCCACTTTGTGACTTTTCTTAGTTTGTTGGGTTGTTCGTTGGACCATAGTTCTCCTATGAGCACTGTCCAGTGTAGTCTGCTGTAGGCATCCTCCAGTGCTAACATTACTGGTAGTACCAAAATTAGCTTTGTGTTTTGTGTGTAAAGAATGCTTGTGACTCAACATGTTTTGATGATCACCGAATTCACAGCACTATAGAAGCTGCAAATAACTTTTAACTAATTCACTTTTACATTTACTGGCACATTTATCAGGCTGAACATTCTCCACAAGGTGAAGCCATTCACACTCAAATAGCTGTTGTGTGCATCATTGAAAGGGAGGAAAGTGACATTAACAGGATTTCAGAAATACATGTTTGTGGTCACAAATTGAGCATATATGAAATAAAACGTCTGAAAAACACCCTATATAGGTCAAGAAAACGCAGGGTACATGATGCTGCTGCCATTGCTGTATGCTAAAACTTTATTTTTTCCATTTATGTTCATGTTTTCCTTTGTCTGATTGTTTTATTTTTTACTCAATTTTCTCCCAATTTAGTCATGGCCAATTTTCACCCAGTACCCTTATCAAACTGCCACTAACACGATGTTGATGTCTTGAACTCCTGAACATGTATGGCTGTGGCATTACCAGGGACTGAACTTGAGACACATTATTAATCTCTGGTATCAGTAGGTGTTACCACTGCATACATACAACACAAGACAAAATAAGTAATAAGAATAAATATTTTAAAAAATAAGATAAAATTATACAGAGATTCCTATGTACATTTCTACAGGGGTGTTTGAATATAAATACATAGCTGCATAAGTGCTATGGAAGTGTAATACTTTACATCAATCTCACTTTATGTTTTTGGCTTCATATAAATTGAAATGATTTGAACTATAATAATCCAGTTGAACTCACCCTGTCCTTGCAGGCTGGTGTGAACTCTCTCTCAGTGGGGTTTCTGGAATGCCCAGCGGCGGCTGCAGTGGTCCAGCTGTGCTGTGGTGCCTGTGCCCATGAGGTACGGGGAAGTAAGCTGTGCCCATAGTGCCAAGCTCTGAGTCCCTGAGTGCCTGCATCTCCTCTTCTACATCAGGGTCTCTGGCCCTCAGCCCAGCGTGGCAGCGTGCTATGTGTAGCAGCATAGCCATTAGCAGTGTGAGGACCATCCTGCAGCTGCTCGCACTAAAACGGAGAGGCACTGGAAGTGTTCCTCTGCACGGCAGTTTGTTTTAACTTCGAACAGCCCTGGAAACTACTCACCAAGATAAACAAAACTTATTCCATGTCCCTCCCTCTTTCTACCTCCTTCTCTCTCTCTCTCTCTCTCTCTCTCTCTCTCTCTCTCTCTCTCTCTCTCTTTTCCCTCCTCTTTCTGAAAGGCCAAACATTCTCACCAAAAACTTCCTCTGTCCCCACCCTCCCTGCGCCCTCTCTCTCTCTTTCTCTCTCTCTTTTTCTCACCCACCTCCTTTCCCTTGATGGAATCACGCCCTTGAACAATTGAAGGAAATCAGTGAACGGCTGGAATTGCTGGCTTGTGAAAAGGTTAGAGGTGCTGAAACAATAAACCAGTGCTTCAGCTTATACTTAACACTCTGAAGGCAGTCTGGACTCGGATGACCACACACAAGCATATAGACCCAACAGGCTCAGTCTAATTGAGCCTCCCTGGCAGGAAAACAGATGTTGTGCTTAAATTTTTAACATGTTTTGTACAGAATGGTTTCATCAGGCATCCTGCACCACACTTTTATATCCTATACATATAAATGTATGTGGTTGATTTACATTGAATTACCCCTTAAGAGTTATTGAGTTGTCATTTTGCTATACATTCATTTTATATGTTCCATTCAATTATGTAGTTGTAATCAGTTAATTAATTATAGTGTTAATTACATGATTAATTACTTAATTAAATGTTTACATTTGTTTTAATGTCAAAAAATGACAAATACTATATAATTAGTGTCGGATGGTCACAATGATGTCTGGTTATCGTGATATCTGATATCATAATATCGGATAGAAGGGCTAAAAACACATACAACTTTAACAGTAAACCAACGAAATAAGCTGTCTAGCTGACTACAGGTCTGACTTAATGTTGATTTGCACCATTACCTATATATAGCAAGCTAACAGAGCAATCACAGTATATTTCACAGTATTATACTGCGCACATAAGCAGAACATGACAAGATTTAAGTTCAAATCATTACTGCAGGACTCTGTAAAGCAACAATACACATATTACAAAATATGTCTTACCTGAAGGTGTTAGTTATAAACTTTAAATGTCCCTGTTATAAGCTCCAAATGTCTGTGTACAGCTGCTGTAGCACCTCTGTTAACATGGTGCTAACATAATACTGTGAACCCCATAAGGTTTCTTTTAGAATTTAGCATTATTACATTAGTGTAAATGGTATTAACATAAGCTTCTCAAGAAGAAAATTCAAGCATTTCTTCATTAAACACTCAACTATTTGACCGTATGTAACACAGTATGAGCTAAATTATTTTACCATGAGCATGTTTTAACTTATCAGATTTTAGAATTGGACCTACCAGCAAGAAGGCAGAGCTTGTCAAGATGGGCTTACACAACTGGAAAACAGAATGAGTGGGGGGGTTCACTCTGACTAACATGTCAGTGCACTTGACAGAGAATCACAGATCGGCTATGTGAATCTACAGCTTGGACTGGATGTAAATCAGCCCCATCTTAGCCAGTACAGATTTTTCTTGTTATCTTTTGGCAGTGCAGTTGTTCTTGGGTCCACAGAAGTAAAAAAAGAATCAGCTTCCAGTTTGTTATTAACAGCAAGTTAAAAAATTTAATCTTATTTTGTAGCATTTTTTCTTGGGAAGAGAGGGAGAGCTTAGCCTCACTAGTCCATTTATATCAGCTGCCCCTCTTTATGATGCAATCATAAGAAATTATATTATATTGCCTATACAGATTTGCTGAGCAGTGCCAGAGTTTTTAAAATTTAAAAAAAAAAAAAGTTTTAAAAGTTCTATCCCTGTTTTCTCTTAGCAGGTGGTTAGAATTTGTAGTTTTAGTGCTGAATTGCTTTGACCCTTAATGGCAAGTACGTGAATTCTGTCTTGTTACAATACATTAAAATGACAAGCTATTATTCAAATTCCAGATAAACAAAATTGCTTAAAATACATTGTACCATGGCTCAACATGTGTTTAGGACAAGCCAGGTTTAGGGTGTAATATCCTGTGAAGGCTGGGACTAAGTCTCTGTGGCACTAATACAAAGTGTTATAAACACTACTTATAAAACTTTATGTTAACCATTCATAACAGTAAAATGGTAATAATGTGGTATTAATACAATAATAATACATTTTTTATTAACGTTCATAAGCATGTATATAATGTGTGAATATGAGCCATGAGTGAAGTCTACTTTTGCATGTGTGCCCTCAATAATGATTGGGTGTGCTCATTCACACAGGAGGCCTTGTTCTCAACGCTGACCCCATTTCGGCCCCGGACTCGTTCATCGATGCACCAGACCTCAGCTGCTCTTTCTCAGGCTGAAGAGAAAACATCCCACCAACGAAGAGGTTGTGGCTGAGATTGGACTGTTTGGAGTAGGGACTAGCTCAGGGAGAAGGAGTCTATTGTGTGGATAAAGCCCAGGAGAAGCTGGCCTCTGCAGGCTGCAGTGGCCTGGTGGTCCTCAGGGCCTCTGTGTCAGTCTGTCTGCTTCTATCGTGTGCAGCTCAGCTGTGACAACAAACATGCAGTGCTGTCTCAGACGCTCAGAGCCCAGCGCTTTCAGCACAGCTCGGCTTCCTGCACACTGATGGAGAACTTCCTGTCTGTATTAAGTGTCTGCACTGTGAGTAGACACTCAGTGAAGAGAGAATACCACGCATTTCAGAACTATCACATCATCTCCTCTTGGAGGATGACACACTTTCAGCCGTTGTTTGTCTGATATCCCTGGGATTCGTGGCCAGTGCAGTTTCCTAACGGTCATCGCACTGATGCAGATGGTCAAACTGATAATATGTGAAAAGAATCTCCTAATTACACCCACATGAAGAGAATAGACTGTCTTCAAGTCATTTATGCACTTTTTTCCACATAAGAGAGATTTCTGAAGGATATTTTCTTATACCTGTACGGTAGCACTGTTCATAAGAGGAAAGTATTGTGGTAATTTTGATGTTGAGCTTGAACAGTTTTTAACACTGTATTTGTTTCAGTTAGTCTGGACAAGTCCCAGCTGTTTTACATTCTGCACTGACCTCTGTTAGTTCAGTTTCTTGTGAACAAAAGCTGTTAATTCCACCTTCTCTCACCACCATTCAGACAAGTGTTGAAAACAGAATTTAAAAAATTTTATATACAGTACACTCTTCCCAAAAATAACTCACTATAAAGCACTGGAAAAGGGTTACTTGGCTCTTTGACAATAGTGGAACCCTTTAGGTTCTATACCTTACTCAAACCATACTCAAGAGGGTCTCATCACAGAGAAGAACCATTCAACCAGACAAAGAACTATTTAAGTCTTCAAAGGCTTCTCTAAGTTGTCATGGTTCACAGTTGCCCAACATAAGAAACCCATGAAGAACCCTTCAAAATAAAATAATTGCTTACAGAGTTTAGATTAAAATGTTATAAAGTAGATACCAAAGGCATTTGTATTTATTTTGTCACATTTTGGCCATTTTGGAAACAACAATTGATTATTAAATCATAAATAATTTACTGTTATTATCTATCTACATGTTTTGTTTAAAAATGTAAATACACATGCAGCTTTGTGTGCAATTTTAGAACCAACTACAGCTCTATTCATTATTCTACACACATCTTCCATGATTAGAAACCTTTAACCCCTTAGAATCTCAAGCTATGATTTACTAAAGAAGTGTGTAATAAAAGTTTGAAGCCACCAGCAGATCCTGGACATTTCAGAGATTAAAGCTGCACAGAGCTAGCATATCAGAGTCATTTTATACTTTAAAATAATTAACATATTTTCTGCAACAAAGCTGATTTTATTATTAAAAACATTTATTCCAAGATTTTAAGGACTAATTCCAGATTTCTGAGTGATCAAGCATGTTCTCACATGATTTCATTGGCCAGAAGACAATGACTGGGTTGTGTTTGAACTATTTTCACTAAATACTAAAAGCTGATCTCGTAGCCACGATTCTGTTTATGGAGGAAATATTGTCACCCAGAAATCGAGGCTTAACTTCAGCCATGAGTTCAGCAGCTTCAGAAGCTTATGGTCTGCTGTCACTTATGTAATGTGGGCCCAGTTAGGATGTGCAGCATCAAAGCGTACAGGCAGTGTGCTGAGCCTTAACTCCACCCCCACCAAAACACACACACGCACACGCACACACACACTGCCATAGCCAGCGAGAGAGGGTGTCTGTGTTACCTCCATGACATTCTGTCTGCTACTGTAGAAGGATGTTTTAGTTTTAGCAGGTGGTGCAAACATGCTGCATGGTTTGTATGTGTTTCATGGTGTGTTTGACATAAAGCCACACTCATCCTGCTGGTAAGAATAATGTTTGGTGACTAATTCTGCACAGCTGGTCTTCTGGAAACAAAGCAGTGTGTCTGTTCAGTATCTTTTTTGTCACTGAAAGGGAAGTTGTTATGTTACAGCCAGGTGTAGACATAACAGACAAGTAAGCCACATATTCAGTTCAGTGAAGTTAAAAGATTGCAAATTTAATAGGCCAGACTTCCAATTGTCATTAAAGAGTCTAGTGGGTTTTGTTGCTTGGAAAATGCTTACTGTGACAAGAAAGGGGGGATTTGATTGACTTGCAAATTGACCAACCACAAGCCGTTCTTTAACAAGATGTGAAGAAGTAGAAGCAGGCCATTATCAAATGATGCTAATCTCTTAATATAGATGGTTCTTTAGTAAAAGAAATGAGTTCTATATAGAACCATTTCATTTCATGCTTAAATGGTTCTTTGCATGATGAAGTTTCTTCAGATTGATAGAGAATGTGTTGTATAAGATTTTTGAAAATGGTTCTATACAACACCAAAAAGGGTTCGTCTATTGTGACAAGATGACATCATAACCATAGTAGAACCCTTTCTGGTGCCATATACAACTCTTTTTAACAAGGTGCTATATAGAACCATCTACAGCACATTCTCCATCAATCTGAAGATCCCCTTTTATGATGCAAAGAACCCTTTAATCATACAAAGGGTTACTTGAGTATTAATGGTTCTATATAGAACCATTTTCTTTACTAAAGAAGGTTGAAGTGTGTAATAAAGGTAGAAGTGTGTAATAAAACTTGGGGCCTGTTGGTGGGACCTGACCATTTAAGGGGTTAAAAGTGCACAACAAAACCAAACCCATCTGAAACAATGTGTTTTGCCCATTGGCTAACATAAGGATGTCTAAATGCTTTAAAGGAAAAGCATGAATGAAACATGATGCAGGGAACTTCACAATTTCTTTTCTAATCCAGCACCTATAGCTTGGTTTGAGAGTCTCACTCTGCCGCTGCGTATTAAGCCAGGTCTTATTCTAAATGTTTGAAGCACTAGAACAAGCTGTCATCAAAAGGTAAAAAACAATGCATTAAATGACTTGTAGAAGAGACTAAAGTGTGAAAGAGATTCTATCTGTTTGTGTCAGGATTTGCTCCACCTTCCAGGTTTTCAGAAACATGCTCTGCTTCAGCCTCTGTCAAAACCATCAACCCACCAGTGCTGAACCAATAAGATGTGCGTTTTTGCCGTCCACAGCCAGAAATTTGCACACACACTAGATAAGGATTCTTGCTGTGTAGTCATATCCTTTTCTGAGGAAAAGAGGGAGTGATTCAGCTTTTTTTCGCTGGCTTTGTTTTTGTGATCCTGTGCTTTAGGACATGGCTGTATTTTATCATCCTGGACATTTAGAACTCATTAATATTGTGTTTATAAATAGTGTTGAGTTTCAGAAGTATATAAAATAAGCTCAGTAGAATATTGATAGAGACTTGATGAAATATCAGGTCATAGGTTCAATCATGTTAAGCCCAAAGCTCACTGCACTGTGCAGTCACCAACGTGTAAAGGCGGGTATTTTACAGCTGCTAGAGGGGCATTTTTATTGTCTCTTTACAGTACATTGAGCACAAATTCAACAAGCAGCACCACTGACAAAATTGCAGTTGTTAATTAATTAATTTATTAATTTATATCTATTTAGTTAGTTTTCTTTTATTGTTCTGAGTGACAATGGCAGTGATGAAAACTGAGCTCTTAAAGCTCCAATCAATTATGCATTAAATATATAATGAGCCCTTGTGGCACTTCTGAGTGTGTGTGTGAGGCTGAGAATGAGTGGGTTGGGGGAGATGGGGGGAGATGGGGGTGTGCGTGTGTGTGTGTGTGTGTGCAGGACTTAAATGCGCTGCAGCATCCAGCAGGTTCTGTCTCACTGCATCCTGTCCTGCTGCAGCTGCTTCTCTCTCTCTCTCTCTCTCTCTCTCACTCACTCAGTCTTTTTCTTGCACGCTCAGTCCACCGTTCTGTTCATCAAAGGTGCCTCAGAGTCTTTCTGCCTGCCTGCGTTATCCCCTCTCTCTCGTTCTCATCCTCCCTCGCTGAGACTCTATTTACACACTTACACACACACGCGACTACACACACGCACACATATTCACACAGAGAACCCGCCACACTCTGTCTACTCCATCCTGACCAGTGTCCAGCATCTGCTCCGCACGCAGCATCCAGGATGGATGTACTAATGAAGGGATTTTCCATGGCCAAGGAGGGAGTGGTGGCCGCTGCTGAGAAGACCAAGGCTGGAGTGGAGGAGGCGGCTCTGAAGACCAAAGAGGGGGTCATGTATGTGGGTAAGTGTTGAAATGAGTAAGGGGGGGTGGTTTCTGTTCTGGGACAGTACAATGTCCCGTTGAAGGATAATGCAGTGTGGTGCAGACAGCAGCAATAATCAGCTGATTATGTAAAAAAATAAATATATAAAATAAACCTCAAGAGACTGCGCATGTGGAGTTAAAGTGGATGTGATCGATGGCTTTATATTTCCAGCGCATATGTGCATGTGTGTAAGACTAGGGGTCCCACAGGGGTCCCAGCTGGGGACGCTGACAAAGCAAATTTGTATATTGCATATTTGTATGTGCAGGCTGGTAGGAAAATGTAGGTTAGATGACTGTGCTGCAGAGACAGTGCAGGGGTGTGGTAGGGAGAGATGGAGGGAGGGAGTAAAAAACAGGATGGAGTCTCAGAAGCAAATTGGTAAAAGTCACAATCTAAGAAATGCATTTATAGTGCAGCATCGCTCGTGCTACGCAGAACATGACGTTTTTAAATATTAAAATTCATCTGCTTAGGTGCAGGGTTTCTTGTTTCTTTTGCGTCCTTACTCAAGATGGCTATAAAGACTGGACATGTGAAAATATTCGATATACTAAAGAAAGGGTAGCTATGCAGTGACTGCACCAGTCCAAAGGTTAAAATCTGAAAAATAATGCTTGAAAAGCATTCATTTGTTCTATACTGGCAATCAGTACTGTACTCCAGGAGGGACATATTGGAATCAGAAAAAAATGAAAGAAATGTGTATAGTGTTTCAATTAGTTATGAATTGTAGGGCTATAATATGCTTTTTATTATTGCTCTGTGCAGTGCAGCTCGAGTGTGAAAGGGAGGGTGATGGGGGGTGAGTTGACAAGTAAGGATCAGCTGAGCACTGCAGCAATCATCACTCTCTGCACCGCCCCCCCTCACCCCCTCCCCAACGTCACCACCACGTGTGTGTGTGTGCTGTTGCGGCAGGATTTGCTTGCTTGTGCAAGATGACGAATTTCCCCCACCCCTTTCTCCACCACTGAGAGAGAAAGAGAGAGAGAGAGAGAGAGAGAGAGAGAGAGAGAGAGAGAGAGAGAGAGAGAGAGAGAGAGAGAGAGAGAGAGAGAGAGAGAGAGAAATCTAGAGACTGTTTGGATGAGAGGTGCTGTACTGCGTGTTATGTCATAGGCTTGCTGGCCTGTGACTATGGACACACACTCATCAGCACAGCGATGAACAGATGGAAGAGAGAAAAAAGTAAAAAGAAGAGAAAATTTCATAAAAACAGAGCAGAAGAGTGATGCCAAGGATATCTGCACCTTCATTAAGGTTCCTTTGCTGCTGCAATGATAAATCTGATTACAGAGTGAACTGACCCACACACACACACACACACACACACACAAAAGACATAGTAAGCTTCATGTAACTGCATATTGAGAAATAGTGATTGAATTTCCTCACCTCAAATGTGTGACTCATTTCTATATTGATATGATATCATTGCTGTACAAAAGGAGAGGGGAAAAAAGCATTCCTAGCTTTCAGCGTAAGTAAAGTAAGACGATTTTGTTCCAAGTTATTTTGGACCATTTCCACAGGTTCATTCATTGTGAAATGTTCATACAAAAGGCTGCTGCTTTTCTCATAAGATGTAGATATGTAGAAATGAAGACATACGGTTTTAAAAGATAGTGATGATACGCTACATCAAGACAGCTATTGTCTTTCAGTTTACTTTCTTTGTTCATGTGAAGATAATGCACACATTTGAATCCAGTAAATTCAATGCATCACTTCTATCAGTGTAGGTTATCAGCTCTAAATCTATGATGTAATGTTCTCATCTATAACCCCACCATAATGAGCTGAGCTAATCCAATCTAACCTGCTCACCAGCCTGCATCGCCTCCTACCATCCAAACGCTGCTGCAGAGGACTGCATGTTCTGCTTCCTTTCCCACACTGCACCACTCCTCTGACCAAGGTCATCTCTTGAAAGGTTGCGCTTGTGTGTTTCTGTTCTTACGCTTGTGGAGTGCTATCAGGAGGCTTCAGAGTGCTCCCATATGGGAGACTGGGCAACAGAGCATGAAGCCATTACACAGTTTGACTGTTGCAAAAGCAGAATTGCTCCTTTCTGCTACACTACAGAGTAACCAGTGTCACTACTGTTAGCTGTTGTATTGTATTGATTGTGTATTTGTATTTATTTTATGTCTGCCAAGATTAAAATGTGTCAGTAGCTAATTCTGATGCAAAGAATCTTTTCTCACTTGAAATGACAAAAAAATAGCATAAACTTACTGATATACATATTACTTACATATATAGTTAGTTCACTCATTCATTCATCATCTAAGCTGCTTATCCTTCTGGGTCGCGGGGGGTGCTGGAGTCTATCCCAGCGCTCACTGGTAGGCAGCAAACACGGTGGACAGGTCGCCATTACAGGGCACACATTCACAGGGGACACATTCACACCTAGAGGCAATTTAGTATGTCCAATTAGCCTGGACTGTGAGAGGACACCCATGTAGACACGGGGAGAACATGCAAACTCCATACAGAAAGGACCAGAGTCGTTTAGCTGGGGAATCAAACCCAGGTCCTTCTTGCTGTGCCACCATACCGCCCTATGTAGTTGGTTTTGAGGGCTAATTATAGCCTTTAGTCCTGGATGATGTGTGAGTTAGCGTTGAAGTAGGGCAGTTTGAAGGTACTTAAAGATTAAAATTTATAGCTCTGCAGACACCAGCACTGCTTCAGTAGGAGGACGTCTCTGAACAGGGTGATATGACGTCAGAGCCTCTGGCACAGCCCAGTGCAAATGGCACAGGGCTTTATTATTAAACAGCTGCATCTTGGCCCATTTAATTCTCAGACATATGGAAAGCAAGAACAAACTTGCTTACAGAATGCAGTCCCATATGGGCCATTGCATAAGAGGTGCCAAAATTTGCCAGGCGTTCTTGGCTAAGTGCTAGCTGGGACGAGTCTGCTGCAGTCATAAAGAGAGAGCAGGAATAGAAAGTGCAGAAGATGCAGACAAGCAGACGCTAGTCACGCAGCCCCACTCGGCCAGGCCAAGTCACGCGGATGCCACTGAGAGAGAGACATAGAGATGGAGAGAGAAAAATATATCTTGGCATCTTAAATGTAGACAATATATCTTATATTTCTCATTATGAGACCAACAGTATGATATATAATATAAGATATTATCATAAGATCACATGTAAAGTGATCTTATCAAGTAAAAATGTATTTACAGATATTTTTCAAGGTATATGTTCAAAATATGATAATATTTTATATACGATAGTAATACACATTTAAAGATAATAATAAACAATTAAAAATAGGTTGAAAAATCTTTTTATGTTATTATAGTCTCATAATGAGATGTTAGGTACATGGAATACATATGAAGTGCTCTTCCTTGCCAAGATATAATTTTTTCCAGAGATACTGACCCATGGACTCATTTGACTCTTTTACTGTTTTGTGATGTTTATATTTTGAATCATCGTCATTTGTAATGTATTTTTTATTTGCGTGTTACATTGATTTATATTGGTGTTGATTTTGATATGCTGGCTTCTTAATAAATCTTATTTTTAAAAAGGAAAAAAAACAGCAACAAACCTCAGAGCAGAAACAGTTCCATTCCTAAAACACTATCTTTTATGTCACATGCAACTCCACTGTACATAAACACATAGTATAGTAAGATGGCTTACTAAGCCATTACCTAATCTTACTGGGTCTGGATTTGGTAGTATATCCTCCCTTTAGGCAGTTCTCTATCTCTCCATTTTATTTCAGCTTTCTCATTTCATCCTTCTCTCTCTCTCTCTCTCTCTCTCACTCTTCCCCCCTCCCTCTCCTCTTCTCTCCTCACTCCCTCTTTCTCGTGCTCCCTACAGCCGGTTATATAACTACCATTTAATCAGCAGGCGAGCATCTAAAAACAGGTCCAGGGACAGTGAGAAAAAGAGCAGCGCATCAGTGCTGTTAAGGGTCCATTTAGTTCAGCCATTCTCGCTGGATAGATGTGACATAAGTGGTAAAGCATCTATTAAGGGAAATCAAACTGCCTGAGTGGTGTGCAGTGTCAGCGGCATGAAGAACACTGTTATGTTTGTCAGTGATTGTGGTGATATTAGATTGCTATCTCTCCCACCACAACACTGCAGGAGAGTAATCTGACACAATCAAAACAGTCCTATCTGGTAGCTTATTTCATGTAGGCCTCTATTTAAATCCTTTTAAAGAGCTGAAGGTATTTTACCAGAAATAGAACAAGGATATTACAGTGCCATTGAATTTACCTCAGAGTTTACCACTTTTCTGGATTACATAAAAAAGACTGAGGCTATATTTGTTTTCTTTGATGTTGCAGGCAATAAGACAATGGAGGGAGTTGTATCAGGTGTCAACACAGGTAAGGGAAAAAACTGCCACAAAATTTGATGGTTTTTATCAAGTATACCAGCATCTAAAACACAACATATGCTAGTTTTTTTGTGAATAGCCACACTGGTGTATGCTGCTTTGTTTCCTAATAGGGCTATAATAAGAATGAGAGACAATGAACGATCCTCTTGTCTATTACAGTGACGAACAGGACCACAGACCAGGCAAACATAGTGGGTGATGCAACGGTGGCAAGTGCTAATGACCTGGGCCAGAAGACGGTGGAGGGAGTAGAGAATGTGGCTGCGTCAACTGGCCTGGTCAATCCGGTAAGTGCTCACGTTCCTTAATGCTTTAAACTGCAAACTTTTTATTCAGCTATTGATCATAAAACTTCATTATTCAGGGACTACTATAAAATATTCAAGAACTACTATGACACTAATATGTACATTATGCATGTATGAGGAATTGAAGTGAGGGCCCAGGAACAAACAACTAGCTGTTTAAAAGCTTAACCAAGGTGCTTTTCTTATCCCTGCCAGCAGATGTCACTCTTTCCTTAAATGGATTTCATTGCCTTCCCCGTTGATGTGTCTGCTTCAAACAGAGCTTGTTATTCTATTTAAAGCTGTGCTTCTCAAACCTGGTCCTGCACATTTACCAGTTTTTCCTGCACACCAACTTCAAGAAGGGCTGGGCAGTTAGGTGTTAGAGCAGAGAAAACACCAAAATATACTCCAGGACCAAAGTTGAGAACCACTGGCCTAAATCGATCAGCACTCTGCAGTCTCCTGAACTTAATCACATTTGGAGGTTTGTATTACCTGTCAAGAAGTTCAGACTGATTGAAATCCAGTGTTGCTTACTATGGCCCATACTTATCAAACTTCTTAGGGTACTGATACTGATCTTTTGCTTTTTATATAACTCTGAATGAAATTCCATTACCTGATGAGGCCTGATCTTAGATCAGTGCTCTTACTCTGAGAAGCTTGATAAATGTGGGCCCATGATTGAAAGTGAGTAGCCAACTTGGCATCTTCTCAAAATTCTTTGAAGCTCATAAACTAGTTTTATTCATTCATCCTCCCATTCAGTGTTTGCATTCTGGCTTATAGAGAGAGGTTTTGTGTGTCTAACCTGTTCTGTCTGTCTTTCCATGACTTTACTACCATGCTGCTAACAGGACGAGTCTGTATATGAGGTGCCTTAAGAAATGGGTTTGGGTGGGGAGGAATAAGTGTATGGTCTCTGAATGCATAGCATGTAAAACGCTACCATGCAGTGTATAAGAAACCCAGTCATAATCACAGAAGGGTATTGTATGGGCTCAAGTAGATAGAGTAAATGTGTCAATGCAAGTTCATTTTAATAGGCTCTCTTTTAGGTTTTTTTTCTTCTTTGTACAAAATGACATTAACCATCATGTTTGGTTACTAAATAATTCTGGCTTATGCATGCCTAATGGTCTTTAAGTAACTAGTGCTGAAATCTACTGCCATACTAATTCATGCTTCTCATTTTACCTACCTATTTAACTGCCAATCATGCTTCATAGCATAATATGTTTAAAAATACCATACTTTGCCTGTGCTTCTATCAAAGTGACTAGAGAAGATCAAATAAACTGTGCTGATCCCCATGTGGTAGCAAACCTGACAAATCCACACAGGGCTTCAAAACAGTGGGATGGGCACACAGAGAGTCTCAAAAGCCATTCTTCTCCAGTTCTTTTAGGACCTTGATGATTTTTCTGAACAATAATAGATTTTTTTCTCATGTATTACTACCTGGAGATAGAGCATGTGTGAGCCTCGCTGAATCTCTGCACTTTATTTAACATATGCATGCCTGCCTGCATTGTAAGGTACTGCACTGAAGTGGAGAGGTTTGAAAGACTGTTAAAGGCCAACTGAATTAGAAAGAGCTTAATATTACTTTACATCACAGTCACCATTAGAGTCTGACCATTTTATCTTATTTACTGTAACCTATTCAAACTTCTTCTTCTCAATCACATTTTATGTCACTTTAAACATCAAAATTAACAGGGGCATAGAAGAAGGAGTCGGAATATAGACGGAGATGCAGATGTGTGAAAAGGGAAGAGGGAGGGAGAGTCTGCACTGGCCCACCCTCGCCCCTTCCCTCCAGTGACTCAGCAGAACCTAACTGCACTGCAGAGAGAGAGGGAGAGGGAGAGGGAGAGGGAGAGAGAGAGAGAGAGAGAGAGGGAGAGAGAGAGAGAGAGAGAGAGAGAAGGGATAAATTCAGTCATACAGTGTCCCTTAGCCTGTCATTTTATTTGTTTAACATTAACACAATATTATGCATGATCTAGTAGTGTACTACTATATATCTGCTTTGAACATAGAGAGAGCAGACCCTGACCACTGCCAACCATAATTAATCCTCCATTAAGTCATAAAATGGCATCTAAGACCAGAGGACATCTTCCCTGCTCAGGCAGAATGCCATTGCTCTACTGCATCAGTGCATGTGTCAATGCAGCTTCAGGCTGTGCTGATGTTTAGCAGGGTAGTGAGAGTCAACTCAGGTCCAGCTGTTTCTGTCGCTACTGCTTGCACATTGTAACTCGTGTGTATGTATGCATATGTGTCTCCTCAGGCCGACTTCTCCCACGGCGGCATGGAGGGTGGAGATGGTGGGCAGGTAAGATTTGGCCATTTTTCTGCAGATGAATCATTTTGCTTAATTTTCTATTGATTGCAGTTAATCAGCCAAGACATGAGGCTAAAGTAGCTAACATGTAAAGTAAGCTTATACCCTAACAACTAGCAAATTATTAGACACTTGCATGAAACCACATCTGGGTTGTGTGGTTTCTGACAATGTATGGCATATTGCAATCTATAAAAGTAGACAGAATTATGGATAATATGTTTCTACTGCTTTTACCTACACACCTAAAAAAGATGGTTCTTCAAGGGTTCTTTAAAAAAGGCAATGGTTCTATTCAGAACGATGAGTTCTATATAGAACCATTTCATTGGATTCTATGCATGGTGAAATGGTTCTTCACATTCATTGTGTATATTCCATCTGAAGAACCATTTCACTATGCAAAGAATAATTTAAGCATGAGGTGGTTCTATACAGAACTTGAAGCGGTTTAAGGTTTATGTGATGCTAATTGGTGAGATGTGAGCTTCCATTACTTGTATGCTACATTAACCTATTCAGGATTTCCCTAGATTTGTCTAGGTTTTTAGTTCATTCTATTCCTGGGTGTAAAATGTCCACGAACGCAAGCCTTTTCTTGTTAGTATGTTAGTATTTCCTATTAAGTTTAAACTGCTTCCTTATATCCAGCCAAACCATCAAAGAATGGGTTTAATTAGTTCAGATTACCCTCAAGGGTGAGACCACTGCTTGGGAAAGGTGCACTGCTGGCGACATGTTTAGGCAATAGGCAGCACTGCAACCCGATAATTGAGACTACAACTGAACTGACATCTTCATGTTCCTTTGACTGCATCATGAGCACAGCTACCTGTCCACTGAATTAATTAAAACACCAAGCCACTGATAAAGTCTCCAGGAATTTTACAGGGCTGAGATGGTGATACTATAATAGCCACAAGCAAACTTGGGACATAAAACTTGTCTTGGCTGATCAACTCCATTTGGGAACAGAAAACTGAATGCACAATCAACCACGTTTAAGCCAAACAATGGCTGTGCTCAACTCAAAAAACTCCTCAACTCATAAAAACACCACAGTAGGTGAAGGGCAGCAATCATATCAGTTTAAGGTTAAGAATGGACCAGATCTCTGAATGCATTTGAATTAATAAAGCCATGTCAAAGATGCCCTATGAGTGCTTCCTACATTTGGGCAAAGAGGAAACTGTGTAAATGAGACTTTTTACCAAACTATTCACCTCTTACATTGCAAGGAAACGTTAACATTAACACCACAAATGCTTCACTGTAATGATAACTGTTCCGCATCTTTCAAACAGGGCTATTAGGCCGGAGCCTGGAACCTCTCTCCGTCCTCAGACTGTCCTCCTCTCAGAGACCCCGCTCCTGTCGCCTCACGCCACACTTCAGATATTTTTGTGACAGTATGGAACAACCAAAACAGAAACAGACTTTCCCAGGCCTTCATGCCCGTGTTGTTTGCTTTGTGTCTAGCGCTCCCCTCTCCCCACTGCTCCAGTGTTGGTGTCATCATGCTACTGTCCTAGTGTTGTCACCCCAGCCTCTTCACTAAAACACCTCAGTACACACACATACATATACACAAACACATACGTTACACTGAACAAATAAGAGAAAGAAGAAGGTTGAGACTGTGGCTTGGACCAAGGATGGAAGATGCCTGTCAATACATTTCATTCCATTAGGACAGGTGGCGATGCGTGTTAGGCCACCTTCTTATTTGAACATTGTTGTCTTTGATGTTGCAGTGTTTGCAGTAATGGGGTGTGCGTACCCTTAGATATATTACATTCCTTTAGCCTAGAATGAGTGACAGAACTGGAATTACTGTGTTCTTGATCACAAACAGACTTGGAGTGAAATGTTCAGAGAATTCTGTAAGTTCACACTGTATACATATCTCCTGGAAAAGAAAAGATAAACCTGTCCAGTCAGTCTTACAGGCTTGCACTGATTCTTTTGCTTGTCCTTGTACAGTTATGATGAGGCAAAAGTTGATCAGCAAGGGTCATTTATTCAAAAGAAGCAATATCTTCAATGGCTTCTTCTACTTGTGTCTGAAGAAGACAAAAACAGAGCTGGTTAAAGAGAGAAAGCAGAACTTATCCCACTCTGTTGTCTTTATTTTTGTTGCAATGCATGTCGTGCATTTGGTGTGCCAGCATAACAGAGATTTAAAATGCCTGCAACATTAAGCAATAGCCCTACCATTGCGGAGTGTGGCAATGGTTCGTTCTGTAGCAATTTGCAGATGAGTTTCTAGCACTGTGTTTTACTTATAGAATGTGAAGAAGTGCTGATATTTGCCAATAAGAAGAATGTCTTAACCATCTATTGACCTGTTAATTCGCCTCACACTTCAACTGAATCCCCTTCTTCAGCCTGTCACTCAGCGGTGTCCCACCCCACCCTTCACTCTGAAGCCATCTGGAATTGAAGACTGCATGTTGCCTTATCAGCACTCCAGTATACTCACAAGTACACACACACACACACATTTCTCTGACATATACGAACACACATACAAATTCAGAAGTTTTCCTCACACATTCATTACCTAAGATACACACATACATGCAAACACATAAGTACAAACACAAACAGATACACAAATGTGCCCCCAAACCAATTAAGTTGGCATCGAAGCCGAAAAGCTGGTTTTATAAACAGTAAAAATGAAATAAAGTTTTGTTGAAATCTACCTAAATGTGTTAAATGCTTTATTTCTCATGTTTGAGAGTTCACATTTTTATTTCAGAACAGCAGGGCTGACCAAACTTAGCAAAACATTTATTTGAGTGAAAATGGTGGAGCACTGAACACTCTGTTGTGTTATACAAGCATTGCAACTACGGAAGCTGAACAGGTCATTCTTGGCGTCCTTTTTGAAGAATTTTTGAAGCTGATGAAATGGGTTTAAATGCTTGTTTAATACTTCAAAATACATGTTTCAAAATAGATATGTTCAGTTTTTGTGTACATCAAGCTGCAGCGGCTGCATTTTTAGAGGACTTCATTAGAATCTATTGTGTGCACTGCCTTTTTAATACGGTGAGGTTTATATATACGTTGCTGCTGATTGGGTAACACCTCTGACACCCATCAAGCCCCTTGCACACCGTTTCGCACCATTTCGACGAAACATGCCATTTAAAAACTAGCAAAACAGTACACAATGTTTTGAGAGTGAGTGTGCTCCAGCTTCATTGCTTGAATATTGAAAAACAAGTGGGAAATGGCACGTCTAATGGCAAATGTTAAGTTTGATGTCATATTTGCAACAAAAACCAGAACAACAACAACAACAACAACAAACAAAGAAAGCTCATATCACTCCTGTTTTAAAATAACCTTACTGGCTACCTGTATCTTTAGGATAGGTTTTAAAACTCCGCTCCTAGTTTTTAAGGCTCTAAATGAACTAGCACCCGCTTACATCACAGAATGTCTGTCTATGTTCCAGTACATCATCTTAAATCTGCACATACTGGTAAGTCCAAAGTCCAAAGTGATTTTAACAGAAATTATGGATGTAAAATGCTACAGTAAATACTTCTACGACATTTTCCCATTACACACATTTATGCTGTATAAATATATAACGTATAAGCTGATAACCATAAGGAGTGACAGTCATTTTCCATGAAGAATTTGCAATAAACTGAATATATAACACACCACATGGAGACATTTTCCAACTGATTTAAGTTTTTTTTCCATAAAAGTCAAAGTATATAAAATGCACACAATGGTAAAGCTAAAGTCTTACATTGTGGTAATGTTGGAGTTACGTGCAATGAAAAATGCAAGGTGATTTTAATGCTTAGTACAGATGAAAAAAAAACTATTTGAAAAACCTTTTTTGAGAAAAAAAAATATTCCTAGAAATATGAGCCCACGAGTATACAGATACTTGTGTATGTAAAATGATTCTATAGACTGTTCTAGAATATTTCCCCATGAGTTTACAGAAAATGAAACTTTATGTTTAGAAATATGAACCACTGTAAATCGTGATGGTGTTGCCATACCAATGGAGGTTTATTTTTTAAAAATCATAATTAAATTGATATTATATACTGTGTGGAGACCATTTTCAAACATATTGAAATGTTTTAATCTAAACAGACACCATTCAAAATGGTCCAAAAATCACATGATGGTAAGTCTATAGTCTTTCATATTTTAGAATTTTAGTACAAAAACACCCAGCGAGTTTTTTACTTAATTTGGGTGAAAATGCTTCAGAATGCTGTTCTATAATATTTCTCAATGAGTTTAAAGAAAATAAAACTTTATTTTTATAAATATGAACGCTGAACAGTAAGTAGTCATGGTGATGTCATAACAATGGAAGACTATTTTTAAGAAAATTTCCTAAAATATTTCACATTAAACACAGTTGTGAACCATTTTCAAACTGATTTATGTGTTTGTTGTCAAAATTTGGACAAATAAAAATGGGCAAAAAAATCACACAGTGGTGAGATGGTAAGACTAAAGTCTTACATATTTTGCAATTTTGGAGCAAAAAGCACCAGTGAAGTTAGTACTCAATTTGGATGAAAATTGCTTCAGCAGACTATGATATTTTCCCATGATTTGAAGGACAGAAATATGAACCAGTAAGCATAAGTGATGACTGGCATGCATACCTATTACAGTGTTTCCAAGAAGAATTCACAATGTATTTGATATTTTATACCAGGTGGAGACATTTTCAAAAAGATTTAAATGCTCAGACAATTCAAAAACACTGAAAAACTGAATTTTAGGAGTATAAACTCAGAATTGTAAGTAGTGACAGTCTTACTGGAGCAATGGAAGTTTACTCAAAAAAATCATAATAAAATTTATACCACATACGATATGGAGATATTTTCAAATGGATTTAAGAGTTTTTCATCAAAATACAGACAATTCAAAAATGGTCCAAAAATACATGTGATGGTAAGACTGTAGTCTTACATATTTCAGAATTTAGGCACAACAACGCCTGGTGAGTTTTATACCTAATGTGTATGAAAAATGTTTCAACTATATGTTTCAACTGTTCTATGATATTTTTTTCCATGATTTGGTAGATATATACAGAATCGTGTGCCATCGGCGCAGCAGTGGAAGTTGATCCCATGTTTACTGGTAACAGTACCCAGTGCTACTGTATTTAATGTGAATAACAGAGGTCTTAAAATAGTGAAACACCATACTTTACTTTTGTATGTACAAGTGATTTGCCATGTTTACATTCCCAAACTGATGGAATATCAGACAGGTCAGCCAAGAAAACCAAGAAGGAGTTATTCCTGTGACTTCTGCAAGGTTCTCTAGACAAGTAGGGCAGTGTAGTCTATGATATCAATGTTGCACTAAGATCAAGCAGAGCCAGCTGAGATATATTGCCTAGGTCAGAGGATAATCAGAGATTGTTCATTATTTGCATTAGTGCTATCTCTGTACTATGCTGAGGCCTAAATCCAGACTGACAGTTTTAATGTGTGATTCCTAAGCAAGTAAGAATATAGATGTCCAAAACATTTGTTATGAAGGGAAGATTTGAGATAGATAAGTAGTGACAGTACTGTCAATGTTAAGTAAATTTAACAATGTATTTGATATTATACACCATGTGGAGAATTAATTAAAAATTATTACTTATATGCTACATTTTTGCAGAATAAAACCATAATCAATTTTATACTAAACAATACATGCATATAGTTTCAAACTGTTCAGAAAATGGTCCAAAAATACATACAGACTTATAGCTTACAGCCCTTATTGTTTAGGCAATTTTAGCACAAAAATATAAACTGATCATCCTTATTATTCAGAACACCTTTCCATGCTATGTTGTCATGACATAAAGGTTAATAACAACATATTTTTAGAAATAACCCAGAACCGTAAGCAGTGAAGGTTTTGCCAAACCAAAAATACATGCAATGGTAAGGCTACAGTGTGAGTGTTTTGGTTGAAAAATACAAGGTGATTTTTATGCCTAGTTTTATGAAAAATGCCTCACCATTGATATAATATCTGTTGGTGGTGACTGGATTTTAATAGGTTAAAATGTAAAATTCCAAAGATTTTATCACAGTATTTCTCTGCATACTAGAACATATTACATTTTTATGCATGTCATTCACAAGTGATGATCTCACATTTTTCTAGGACATACAGGTAATCAATAAGCCCTGCTCTCTACAACAAAGCCCTCAAGATTAATTACATCACTAAAACAAGTTAAACCTGAACAGCAGGTTGAGAAAAGGCTTCAACTTTCAAGTTCCCTGAGCTTTTCAATGCTGCTACAATACGTTTATGCAGAAAGAAAGAAAGAAAGAAAGAAAGAAAGAAAGAAAGAAAAACAAAGAAATAAAGAAAGACAAAGACAAACAGATAGAAAGAAAGAAATAAAGAAAGACAGAAAAATGAAACCGACAGGAATGAAGGAAGAAAAGAAAGAAAGAAAGAAAGAAAGAAAGAAAGAAAGAAAGAAAGAAAATGAGTGAGAAAGAAAGAAAAAAGAAAGAAAATGAGAGAGAAGGAAAATGAGTGAGAAAGAAAGAAAGAAAGAAAGAAAGAAAGAAAGAAAGAAAGAAAGAAAAAGACAGAGAAAAGACAGAGAGACAGACCGACTAAACTAATCTAAGCCAAACTCCAGTGTGTGTAGAGGGATAGTGTTAAATGGGTGTGTTTTGCAGTTGGTGTGTGTGTGTGTGTGTGTGTGTGTGTGTGATGGCCAAAACATTCCAGCTTCTATAAGAAGTGTGCCACACTCTGCTTTACACACAAACACTCACACTTTCCTACTGTCAGCGAGACAAAGTGCACAAACATGGACTTCGTCAAGGGAGCTCTGGATGGACAGGCTGAAAAGGTCATTGATCAGACGGGTAAGACAGCACCTGCATTTTTACACTTTACTGTTCAACTTACGAGAAAATATTATGACTAAAAAAACAGCTTTATGTTTTTTTTGTGGCTAGTTATAGATTGTGTATGTACATGGCACTCATCATGAACTGATGAATGAAGTCAGTTACCACAACAAAATTTGAAGGCCGTTATCACTACGGGTTTGCAAAATGTACAGCAGAGCTGTAATCGTTTTAATACACACAAGCATTCAACTGTTTATAGCACCTGCATATTTTTTTCTTGATTTGTATTTGAATGTTTATATGTTGATTCTCCCAAAGCTGATGCTGCCAAACAGACAGTGAACTCGATGATTGGAGGAGAAAAAAAGGAAAAGAAACAGGCACAAGGTGATTTCGTTTTTTTTCTTTTAAATACCAGCCTAGAGGTTTAAAGATGTTGTGGAGCCTCACTCACTTATACTCAATCAATCATTTAAATGTGGCAATAAAAAAATAACTCAGTTCAGTAAAATAACTAATCAGAGCCACATTTCAAAGAAATGAAGGAAGACTACTGTAACTGTAAAGTGGTATTTGCCTGCTTTAATAAGACTGTTGTGCTTGCAGGTGTTGGTAATCTGTTGAACAGTGCAATTGACAAAGCTGTTTCTGAAGCCGCAATGGACAAGGCATCAAAGCAGGGGTTGGCTTTTGGGAAAAACCTATTGGGCTGATTCTCATCATCTTTCATCTTTTATTTACACACCTTGGCAGCATTTAAGCATCATCATGTATTATATATTAGTATGCTAAATCTCGACTGGACAGCAGAAATTCACTGACATGTCTTCGGTGATGAAATTAAAGGTGTTTATGATCTGTCATTCTTTTGACTGTGAGTCTAAGTTATTTGTTGAGTTATTACATGAGAACTGCAGAATATGAAGGATGTGTGTAACAGAAAAAATAAGACTCAAGGTCAAGGAAACAAAAACAATTACTGTCATTTTTATTCTCAACAAAAAAGGCAATACAAATTTCCAACACAAATTTCCTGATGAAGCTGTAGACAAGCTTTGTAAATGGTTTTGTTCCCACATGAGCTGCCGTCACCTGCGCACACCTGACTAAAGACTTGCTCAGTGTACTGGCTTTGACATTCAGGTCAGACAGGAGTGAGTCAACAACCAGTGGAATCAATGCCTACAAGATATGGGTGTATGAGTCAAACATTTTAAAACGGAAAAAAACAAAACAAAACAAAACGAAACAAAACAAAACAGATTCTGCACGTCTCCAAGGCAAAATACTGAAAGTTGGACGGACTTTAGGCATGGCTGGAACAGTTTGATCTTCTGGGTAAAAAGAAATAACTCCTCTGAGTATAAAACTCCTGCTCTCAGGTCTAAGGCATCTTTAGTGCTGTCTTTCAATACTATGGCAATTAGCGTTCACAAGGTTTGAGACACACATAGGCTAAAAATAAATTAACCTAAATCTATTGTCGAGGGCTGACAAAAAACAAAAATACTGTACACCTCGCTCTGATTCAAAGTTGGCTTGACATACAGCCACTCAAAATCACAGTGAAAGGAAAATACCGCGAACAACGGACAATACTCATGAGCTAGTACTGCATTTATATAGGACCTCATTAGTTAACGGTGGATCAATATAAAAACTACCACAATTGTCTGATAGACTGGACAGAATAACATTATAACAATATGAAGTACTGCAGAAACAATGCTGCCAGTTTCCAGACTGAAGGCTACATGTTCTACTGTACAGCAGAATACAGAAACTAGCACAGAGCCTCAGAACAGCACAGAGATTTTCTACACAAATCTGCATTAACATGTTTTGGGGGTGTGAATGAATGTGGAGGGAATAATAATAATAATCTAGTGTGGAGACAATTAGGGGTTCAGCTCGTAAACTCTCGGTATGTCAAAAGGCTGTAGCACTGTGGGGCAGAGACTGGGTGTAGGGCTGATACAGAGAGGATGGATTGTTTGGCAGAGGTAAAAGAAAAGAAAGACCAGGGAATTTATGTGAAGGTCAGGCCAGCCTCATTGTACACCTTGAACACCTTCTCGATGGCATTAACATATGCTGCTGTCCTCAGGTCCAAGCCCAGGTTGTACTTGTTAGCCGTGCGCATAATTTGCTGGAGAAGAAAAAAAAAAAATTACTAAGAATACCACATCCATGTCTAACGTCTGCCTTGAATAACACAGAAACCATGTGGAAATCTGTGTGGTAATTTAGTGTAGAGAAAATGCGACCCAGAAGTAAGGAAGCAGAGAAACAGATGCTGTGTATTGCTAAAACTAGCTCATCATTAAGTGTGTGAGAATCCCCTGGAGTGTACGAGCAGAAGGTAAGGAGAGGTTTGCTCTAGAATGATCATTCCACAGCGAAGACTCGTACATGCCTAAAGCTAAGGCCATGGCTCAGACACCACACCTATAATTGTCTTTAATCATGCACAATAACCAGCACATCATGTTACTGTCATTAAGTAACTGAAGTGGAAAATAAAAAACACAGTGGTATGTGCTTCCTGATATCTGAGAGGCTACACCTTTCACTGATTATACATCAGCTGCGCAGTGCTGCTACACACTTGTGATAAAATAACTAACACACAGCCTCAAATGGCTTAGTGTTTTTTTTAAATGGCAACAAAATACAATATAATAAAATGCACCAATTTTCAAAAATAATTTAGCTAATTTTTAATGATTATCACAAGCTACCATTCTTCTGCCAAGCAAACTTTTTAACTATACGCTATTAGCGCCTATAGCAACATAACTATTCATTGGATTTTAGAACGAAACTAACTACTAACTATGTTAAAATGAATTGTCTACTGATTCTTTATCATATCTTGCTACATGTAGATAAAATCCAAATTGGCAACTTTACAGAAGAAGGTAAAATTGTTTTTAACTTTTAATGTAAGTTAATGTAAAGAGATTTTATCCCAAGTAATTTTAGAGCATTTTTACTGATCCATTCAGCATGAAATGGTCAAACGCTGTAAAGGGTAGCAACTATGCTCAAAAGATGTACAATAACATTTTAAGCTCTTTAAATCTCAGAGTGACTTTTTTAATCAAAAGCATGTTAGTATATTAATTAAGACAAAGAATTGTAATATCTAAAAAAGAGAGTGTCTTAAGATCTAGTTTTAATAACACATTACTGAGTACTGTGTTTACTGTGTGTACGGGTGCATATTTCCACATACACAATTTATGAAAGTGTAACTAGGTTTCCACCAACTTTGACACCAGTGAGAGACAGACATAGCTGTTTACCCACAACTGTTTTCAACTGTGACTGGCTGGTTGTGGGTCTAATTCTCAGCATTCTTTCATGCAAGTTTTAGTTTCATTAACTGGAGAAAATATCAGGCAGAATAACTTACCCTTGCAGACCTCTCCATAGTGTAGGCAAGACCAGAGTGCACAATGTCCTTCTCAGATGCACCCTACACATTACAGAAAAGATATATTAGACCATTTTAAAACTTATCACACTTTAGACCTGCACTCCTTAGTCACTTATTAAGTAATCCCGATTCTCTAAACAGCCGTGTTAGAAATTAACTGTAGAACTAAATAAATTAGAACTGATAAATAAAAAAGGCTGACAGCAGTAAACTTTAGCACGGTTACATAGCACTTTGCACACAAGTCTGTTCACCACACTTCCAAATTTTTCAGTTACACCTTATCAAGTCAAATTATCTTAAAATGCAGATCTGACTTCTTCAAGCACTTATTTTTTGGTAGAAGCAAAATTATCTGCTAATGTGTATTACAGTTTCAAAAAAGAGGCTACTTAATAAATAGAAAATTACCATAAATAAATATAAACATATTTATAACAATATAAGGAACAGTAGATTTATTACTTATGTAGCCAAAAACACTTTCGGTATTAGTTACCAATTTACATTTTGGAAAGCCAATTAGCACCTAAATGCATCAGTGAATAGATTAATTATTTCACAATGCAAATGTGAAAATAAATTACATTTTTTCAAAGGAATGTATTCCAGGATTTATCAACTCCCAGTATCTACTACCACTAATCAGCTACAAAACATTAATATAATTAGCTTTTATAGTGGATGCAACAAAATGGATATTTGGCATAAGCTCATAAGTCTCCTAACCTTCCCTGTGTGCTCTCTGTCTGAGGGACACTCGCACACACACACACACATACACACACACACACACACACACACACACACACACACACACACACACTCTTGCACACAGAACTGATACTCACAGCTACTCTGGCCTGGAATTCAGCAGTAGGGACCACTGGGATGGGGCCTCCTTGCTTTCCAAACTTCCTCTCAAGACTCTCCTGCACAGACACTGGATGACAAAAATACAGGAATTAGTGAAATGTTGAATATTATTATATTAGATATAATATAGATATTACTGCTATTCAAAAGTATTCATCCTTTAATTTATACAAATATATCCAGAGCACCACTGAAGCATAAATAAAAGCATGAGAAACCTAAATTCAGCAGCTACTTTTCTGAACCACCATCAATTATACGAGGTGATTTAGTAGTAATATGCATGTTTTGACATGCCGACAGCCTTCAGTTATGTACTGAGCTAGATAAAAATATCCCACAACATTACTAATAGAGTATCTATAGCTCTGTTTCTGTGTATAAAGTTTCTGTTACTGTTCACCTCATTCCTGTTTTGTGTAATTGAGTACATCTTGCGCATACTTGGCTGAACTGGCCCATGTACAGAAATGTTACGTCCATATACATATAAACTGAATAAAGTAAAAGATCAATATGGCGCCAAAAATTAGCAATACCTTTGTCTTATCTTAATATCTTTTCTTGATCTCATCCTACTATTTGCATGAGAGAGAGCAATATGCCTGAAAGTAAAAACATGTCTGAGGGATGAGGTGCCATGTCGCCTTGTCTGAATGGTTCATAAACACTCAGTACTGGGAGGGGTGAAATGTTTACGCTACTGCAGGGCATAAGGTCACTCCCTGTTCACCCTGTTGATCGGCAAACACGGCACCGCCCAAAACACAGAAAGAAAGCTGACGCAGGTGTAGAAAGAGAGGGTAATGATGATAACAGGTTATTAAATATCTGTGTGGCATCCTTTGAATGAATCATTTCTAAGCTCTGCAGTATTAAACATCTGATACTTCCTCCAAACCTCTCTGCATTTCCCAATGCAGTCATTTTCATAAAAACTAAAAGTTTCTGACCAAGCCTGAGGGAAATGATGTGCTTCTTGCATAGACCACAGATGATACACTATCTTACAATGTGAATTAGGAGGGAAGATTTTGTGTAACATTCCTGCAGACTTACTTAGCAGATGATAGTTGGAATCCCTCTCGTACTTAAAGGTCAGGCGGCCGTAACTGACATGGTTCAGGTTTTTCAGCCACTCAAAGTAGGAGACAGTCACACCACCAGCATTCAGGTACATATCCTATAAAAAGAGATGCAGTGAACTTGACATAGAGATTTAAACACAGTTTATCATAGTTGTCTCTCTGATGCTACAACATCCTTCTGCTTAGGCAAGCTAATCCAATATATGACTTCCCAAACAGCTTCAAACAGCTTTGTGGAGACTCTGAGAGACACCAGGCAGATCAGCAGTATGGTTCACTAATTCAACAGCATAGAGAACTTTTACATTCATATATATTGTAAATATCATAAACTATGCCTGCTGTCAACCATGGATTTCCACTGGTCCTGCATATGACCAGGAAACAGCTGCTGTATATGTGTGAAGGCAAAACAGAGGAAGGCGATCTTACCGGGATGACCATGATGTTCCTCTCCAGGAAGATCTTGTCAGCATCAGGTGTGGTGGGCCCGTTGGCACCCTCTGCAATGATCTAAATCAACACAAAGCATGTGTTAAGTGTCTATTAAGCTGAGCACAAAACATGCTGTTGCATATATTCTCAGCGTAGGATAGCTACATTACGACTCTGTCACACTAAGGTTTACCAATGAAATTAAATTAATTGAGCAAACACCTCAAACTTCATGTCTTCGAACAATACCGCTACTGCTTTGGCTGTGTTGACCTCATATAGTGACATGAAACGTCCAAAGTTGACTCCAAGAGTCAACTTACAAGGTAGAGTGATATTAAAGAACTGTCTTGCAGGAGGTTGCAAACTTTAGACAAACAAAGATTTATTTAGTGTGAGGCTGACAAAGACTGTCCAAACGTTTTGGCGTGAGATTAATTTATTTCTTTGCATGCTAGTCTAAAATGGGACTGAGGTTGGATGATTTTTGGCACCCGGAAAACTATAAAACTCTGAGAGACAGGGTTGACACATAAGGTTACAGCCTGCGTTGCAATCTTTCACAAATAACATTGGCAGGGATGTAACAGAATTTGTATTTACCACCAGTCAAATTAGCAGGCTGTTTTTACCCAAAAAGGGGGAGAGCATTAGGCCGAGGAAAAGCACCCAGAAGTGCTACTCTCATATAGCTAACTAAAGACCCATAGCAGTTGGTGTGTAATGTGGTGCTGTAAAGCATGTGCAGGACTGACGAGAGGTTTTGTGTCCACTCCTCCAAAGTTACACAGGGGTATGGCAGGCAGTACGAGTCTGCAGTGGTGACAGGGATGCCAATCTCCCTATTATAAGTCAGTGTACCATCAAAGTGATTTTGATACTGTTTGAAGGAAAAATTTTAGATAATGTTGTTTTAAATGTTTATTGTAGGCAGGTTAGCCAGCTTATTAACTGCTGTGCTTCCCAGCTAACCGCAGCTGCACTACTGCAAACCAGGCCAGTTATCTATATTTTTTTGCTACAGATCAGTGTGCAGCATTATACCCTTGAGTATATTGTTTTGTTCACCTTTGTGCCATTATTTTTATGGTTAGCAAGTTAGCTAACTTGCTAACTGCACCAGCATGGAGGATTCTAACATTGCCAGTCTTAAGGTCCAGCCTAGGTCACACTGCAAATATCTATGGCATTAAGCTGATGGTTCCCTTTGCAGCAGTGTAGGAGTTTTGCATTCAGAAAGCCCTGGTTTGTGTACTGTAAGCAGCTGGGTGTCACCAGGATTAATGGTTCTCATTTAACTAACATTCCTATAGAAAGATCTTGTGTAGATATACAGCCTACCTTCGCTGGCTGGCATTCTGAGCAAACCTCTAACAGTTACACTTTTCAAGAGAAGTTAGGGTGCTACTTTCTACCTTGAATGACCCACCATAGCATAAGTATGTATTCTGCTGTTGTGTAACAGGCTTACATAACAAGGTGGACTGAGGCAGAGTGGTATTTTGAGGTATGAATGGGAGGAATATCGCTTTAGCTAAGGGATCTTAAGCATCCCCTGGCTCCAATTTGTTTATGATTTAAGCAAATAATAAAAGTAAATTTGTTAATAGCCAATAATGACCTTGGCTTTGATGTTGTGAGCATTCTTCCTGGTCAGTTGCTTCTCTCCTGCAGCAGGGATGAGGATGTCACACTCAGCCTCCATAATGTTACCTTCATAGGGCTGAGCATTAGGGAAGCCAACAATGGTGCCATGTTGCTGTGAAAAAATAATGACGATAATAGTATATAAAGGAACAGCATGATATTCAGTCTTTCATATTAAACTGCAGTCTAAACTAAGTCTTTCCACAGCCCCTTCGTATTTTTTTGGACACAACAAAGGCCAAGTGAGATAGGACAGACTTATTTTCTGCTCACCAGTTTGTAGTCCTCCAGTTCCTTGGGGTCAATGCCATTGGGGTTCCAGATGCTTCCATCAATCTCAGCAATGCCTACACACTTAGCTCCATAACGATGCAAGTAACGCATGGAATGCAAGCCGACATTACCGAAACCCTGAAACAGAAAAACACTTCTATAATAAAGTTAACAGACATAATTCTTCATGAAAATTTTGTAAAATTAGCAGGCCATTTTCAATTAAATGCAAGGAATAGTAATGCTGGCTGGCCAGAGTAATAACTACTGACTACAACAGGCAGGAATAGGTGTATCAAGACCTGTAACACAAAAAGTACTTAATACCTGGTAAATTATACTAGAATGGTGGACACCTATTTAGAAATGGTTTTGTTTGCGACCCTATTCCAAGTCTAATGAAATGATCTCTGCTGCCCCCATGTGGTCTTAAAAAGGCTATAACAACTTTCTAAGCTCAGTTTCTTTTTTTTAATCACCATCTTCTCTAACAAAAAATGCCATGCACAGCTTAATATGTTTTTACAGATATAAATTAGTCAAGCTGGCTAAACTAGCATGTTTACAGGACTTATTCAACTGAATAAAATAAGGTACAGTAACCTATAGAAAACAGGTTCTACTTTATGACATAAAACATATATGCACAGAACTTCTTTATCGTTTTCCTTGGTCTTTTCTGCAATTAGAATACAAGACAGCGCCTCCTCGTGTTCTCTCCCTGTACATATGCACAACTGTAAACCTCAATCTCAAAGAAAAGATCAGTCCAATGTGTAAAGTAAGTACAGTCAGCATAGCCAGGAATTTCTCCTCAATGTCACAGTCCGTCAGCAGATTGATAGGCTTTGGCTACGCTGCAATTAAGAATGGATGCCAGTGGAGAAAAAAATAAATCACTACTGGCACTACTGTTCTGTGACTCTGATGCTTAATCTTGAGAAACGACTGCCGCTTTAGGTCAAACTTGAGAGACGTGCCCCCCTCTATCAGAGATAATGTTAGTTTGAGGGTGTTGGAAGAGGAAACAGCACATTTTGTAACACATTTTCCAGAAGGAACTAAGTACTGAGAGTTCTACTTAGCGCTGACCATTAACTCCCTCTTCCCCTTCGAAGCCAGAGGCCCACTTAACACAAATCGCAGGCTTACACTGTACAGTGGTTTCTTAACTCAGCACTACCTACAGACAAGATAAATGCAACTTCCTTGCACAGCTTAATAGGGAGGGAGTACCTTACCAAACAGTAAGGTTTATTTTCTTTAATGCTTCTTTACACACACACATACACGCACACACTTTCTAAGCCGCTTATCCTTCTGGGTCGCCGGGGGAGCTGGAGCCAATCCCCGCAGTCACTGGGCAGAAGGCAGGATACACCCTGGACAGGTCGCCAGTCCATCACAGGGCAGACAGACTGCTTCTATACAGACATTTCAACTGTCTATCTTTGAAATAGGGACTGACTAGTTTAAAGGTCACCGACACCAATTTTAAGGAGCTAAATTCTCTTAGAACTGGTAATTTTGGTTGACGCAATTTTATTAGGTCAAAAATTAAACCGACTTTAGAGGTGCTTTATTGGCTGGTATGCTTGTCAGTTACAAACTGCAAACAGTGTTAGCGGGAATGTGGTACAAAGTAATGCGTTACAGTAAGGTGATTAGTTATTCCTGTAATAAAACATATAATGTGGGATAAAAAAGTATAAGTATAGTATGAAGTTTTAAACATTGTTTAAAATCTTGTAAACACATTACAGTTACTGATGTCATAAGAATTACATTACTTGTGTATGGCATGCGTGTGTCCCCCGGGCCCCGATGAGGCAATGCCACAGCTTTTATTGGCCAACCTACGTATCATATGGGGCCTACTTTGCAATGATCAAGATACCAATAACAATCTAAAGTTGCTACACAATGTCACCACAGAATTAACTGTAAAATAAAGAGAATTTAATCTATACTAATACAGTCATGATTCATAAAATCTTCTGCTAAGGCTATAGGTTACTTAATTCTCATATTAAAAATAGGATATTTATGACCTCAATGCAATAAAGGCTTGTTTGACAAATGAAAACATGCATCCAATATATACCAAATGCTTTCTTTTCCTATTGTTAGAACTATGCAGGCTTGGAAGATGAACTACTGTTATATCATTAGAGGACCTGTATGAAGAAAATACAATGGCACTGATCATTTCTACGCGTACGTTGCTGCTCAAAAAAGTGTACTTTTGCTCATTCTACCTGGATGATGAAGGTCTTGTCCTCAAAGCCGGGTGTCAAGCCCAGCTTGCTCATGTAAGATGCCTCGTTAATGAAGTTCTCAATGCCATGGAAGACTCCGCGGCCGGTGGCTGAGATTCTGCCATGGATGCCACCCTGGCTGATGGGCTTTCCTGTCACACAGGCATGAGCGTTGATGTCCTGTATAGAGATATATACACGACGTACAAACACACAGACACAAAGACAAAATGCGGCAGCAGGTTAGTGTCTGAGTGTTAAGGTCTTACTGCTTTGATATGCCACATAAAAAAACAACACTCATTAAAATATACTACAAAAAGTACTGTTGTATAGATTTAACAAAACTATTATTAACAAAAGTATAAAAGAACACATCAGAGAGGAAAACAATCATGCTTTCATGCACACTGTACTACAGATTAAGGGTGGGCAATAAGACAATATGTTATTGTAATTAGTTGTTACAAAACTCAATAAACTTGCACCATTAAAAAACAAACACACAAACAAAAACTAAAAAGATTTTCATTATACCATACATCTTCTTTTATTTAATGTTAATCATTTTTTAAAATTATGTTTCCTCCTGTTCTTTGATACGTTATTTGTAAAGATGCTGAATTAAGAAAATAATAATTGAAGTCAGTTTTCACAACCTTCTTAAACGTGGCACTGCTCTTTTGCTAGTATACTCTGCCTCAACCTGTTGTAAGCCTGAGAAAAATTAAATATTCTGATACATACTCAGTATCAATATAGCTGGGTAGTGTATTTTTATATCACTACTGACACCAACATACCTTGACCTTGATACCAATTTTTCTTTCAAATTACAAACAGAAAGTGGGTGTCTTAAACGAGAAATTAGTGAGAGGTGGAGACTGCAAACTTATCAAGACATTAATAACATGCATTAGGAATGCACAGTGGCCGCAAAAGTATTTAGACATTTGTGCCATACTTAAGTTGTATGAAGTTCATTGTAGTAGTTAACTGAATTTCAAATCAAGTAACATGTACTTTAAACAAATCAAGACTGTAACAGAATTTTTGGTAATTTCTCAAAAAGTGGATGTGTTCATTATCACTATCGTTTAAGCAGAATTCTTTTCAGAATTGTGTAGGTTTGCATCCAAAACGCCGCTGCACAAGGCTTGAAAGAATCATTGTTTTTATATCAAAGTTATGATCTGAAAGAGTGCAATTTTAAAAAACACAAGATTTTAAATTATATCTTACATTACTGAATGTTTAATTGGGGAAATTTAACCTAATAAACCTAATGGCGCTAATTGCATTTAAATCATAATAGCACAATTGCTTCATGATCCCATCAATGAACATAAGCTCACCAACACCACTGAAAGAAAAACAGCCCCAGGCTTTGACGTACTTTACAGTACTCTTAGAGCAGTCTGGTTGGAATTATTCTCCAAGCTTTCTCCACACAAAGAGCCAATCATCAGTTTGATGTTGTACTAAAAGTGCTTTTCTCTAAAACTAATATAATGTTGTTAAACATTTTATGAAGTAGCCTAAAGAACTTAAGTTTACCAGTAGTTGAACTGTTCATGTGTCCAAATATGTATTGAGGCCCACTGTAATTTAGGCAGCTAGTCACGAAGACTGACTACTTACGTATTGAAATTTGGTATTAAGTAATTCGAGGTATTGAAGTAATTCGTCGTTTAGAAGTATTAAATTTCAATACCTAGCCCTAACTGTCAAACTGTTTTGCCATATCACCCACCCTTATTATAGATACATTACAGATGCCTGGTTGTTGTGCTATACACATGTGCATGCTGAAAAATGACACAGGTCTAATGCACGAATCAACTTCACTTGTGCCACTGCAGTCCATGATGTCTGTCCCTCTCTCTACCTCACTTTCTAACTCTCAAACAAATTTACTACACACAAGGCTGGAGTGAGACAAGGACAAGGATTGGCTGGACAGGACCACGACAGTCAGAAGTTCTGAGACACCGGACAGGGAGGGTACACGTGAGGTAGAGCAGAGTGCGACTGGACAGAGGACTGTCCACTGAGGGCAAGGTTATTCCATGTGTGAATAAGGGCGTGTGGTGAGGGTCTATTCTTGTGAGGGAGTGCAGTGGAAGACAAGAGAGAAGAGGAGAGGACATGTACTCACAGCAGACTCACTGCAGCAGGGGGGACCAGAGAGGACACGGGTTACGCAGAGGAAGGACAAGCTCACAGCCGAACTATGTAACTAACTAACCCTCACACCTGGGGACAGTAGCCTGCTAAATATATACCACCTATATAAGTGTAGATATATATGAAAATAGATACAAGTTTGTCAGGAGTCAGGATTATAGGTCTGTAAGTGCAATTAAATATTAATCTATAATTAATACAATAATATATAATTTGATCATATATAATACAAATTTTACCCTTGTTTTTAAGGAACATAAATGCAAGTGTTAATGCAGGGCCTTTAACCATTTTCACTGACATTTTATCTATATCAACATTTTTATCTTTGTGTGTGTACATACGTATATATAATCTTGGATGGTTCTATGTATCTGTACCTATCTTTATTTTATCTATTCATCTTTCTTTCTGTCTGTCTATCCATCTGTCTTTATATCTATCCATGTGTCTACCTTTCTTTCTGTCTGTCTGCCTATCTATCTATCTATCTATCTATCTATCTGTATTTTATCTTTCTTTCTTTCCATCTATCGATCTATAGTACATTTCCATCTACATTACTGGGGAAAGTCATAGACCAGTCAGAATGGCCATTAAATACAAATTATTGATTTTTCAGATATTTCTGAGGAGATCAGATATAAGATAATTCATTTATATAAAGAAGCGGAAATAAAATAAGTGAAATAAATAAGTAGGAAAAGTTTCTAAAACTGGAGTTCAAAAAATTATTAAAAGATATAGAGAAAATAGGACACCTGACACTTTTGCGGCAGGAGTTTCTATCAATCTTTCCACTGCGAGAACTCAACACTGACGGTCTGATAGAATGTGTAGTTGCTAAGCAGCCGTTACTGAATTGCAAATCAAACAAAGAGGCTGCTGGTGTCGAAGAGTGGAAAAATACTCCTGTACATTTCTTTAAAAACTGAAATCAAGTCTCCTAAAAGCAGTGGGAGCTGGAAAAAAGGCAAAGGGTGGACACACTAAATACTGATAAAGGTATTAGGCCTAAATTTAGTCGATGATTTTATTCTAAACATATTCACTGGGACTTCTATAAATGAAAGGTGATCTCTGCCTTTTGCACAGTTCTTTCTATGTATGTATCCATCTATCGCATACTCTCATGTATGTTTGTGGCCTTCTTCAACACAAAGCCTCTACTGGACAGCAGGGTCTAATGTCCTCTATCAAACCTGCGTAACTCCAACTCACTCAGCTCCTCTTCGCAGAATCATCAATCATTTACTGTTCACCTGTGGGGGAGCGTCACAGCGTCTCTCTGCCATTTCAAATGAATGTACTAAAGGCAGTTTCTCCCAGTTTAAGCAGAATATCCCTCCAAAAGGGCATCTATGGCCCAAACCTCCTATAACTCAGTTCTTTGAAAGCAGCAAAGAATGAGCTACAAGTCTTTGCAAACAACGGGATATGAAAAGGGACTGGGACAGGCTGTAAACAGACTTTTACTGTTCATTCTGATTATATTCAGCCTGTGAGTGAGTAAACATCAAACTACGTAGTGGGCATCTCAAATATAGGACTACTCATCATTCACATGATCTGATCGAACAATGACAATTCCTTGAAAAACATCAGCAATGAGGAGGTTACATAAAGTGCTGCTTTCTGTAGACAGCTTGCTCATGTTGGGTACACTGTGTTCAGCCATTGGGGCAAAGGGAAGGGGAATAATGGGAGCTTTTTCTCCTCAATGGACACACTGAGCACTGATACACATCACAGTGTGAAACGTTAGTTTAGCTCAAGTGTTAGTATTAAAAATAACAGTAACCATTCTGCACACATACACATCATTCGCATGCTATTTTGAAACTGAGAGAAGAACATAAATTTCTGTATATAAAAAATATAAATAAATAAAAAGTTTTCCTAAGTTGCCATGGCAGCAGTACTGACTGTGCATAAATCGTGAGCTCCCTAGGAGAGCAGTGACCCTAAAAACAAACACTTCTGCAAAGACAGCACAAAAAAAAGGCTACAGAAGAATTTAAACAAAAAAGTGTTTTTTTCTTGTATCTGTTACTTACTATTTGTCTGTCATTATGGCAGTACTTTAACTTGATCAGGAGGAGATCTGTGTGACTTCAGCAGTGTCTGAGATTATAGACCAAAGGATAGCCTAAGCCTCTTCCAATCATGCCAGCTGCTAGCCTCACTACAATCTCTCTCCTTGTGCAAGCTGATGAGTTACATTAAAATATTTCAAACAAAACACTACTGTTGCCAAGAAACTTACATAAAAAAGACTAGCCACTGTTTATCCAGCAAAAATCTATATGGCTGTCATCTACAAAGGCAAATATTGCAGAGCCTGTCCGAGATCACTCTTATCAGAGCAAAACAAATATAGGCTGTAGCTGATTAAGCCACACTAAGATGAAAGAGCTTTTCTCCTTACACACAACTGTTTATCAGAATCGCTAATCCCAGGGTGATGATAATGTTTGTAGAGCTTGTTGCATAAACACTCTTAACAAAAATCTTCGGTGCAAACTCTTACAGGCGTTGGCAAGTGACTTGTGACATAAGAAGGCAGAGAAAACCTGGAGAAAGCAACTCTACAAGAATACAGAAAGCTATGGTGGTGCTTTCTGAATGGATTTATTGATGCTCAGGTCACTTACGGTGTGGGCAATAGTGTTAGCATAAGTGTCAGCAATCCAGGACATCTCCCTCTCGCCAGTGCTCATGTCAGGGGCAGGCACATCAATGCCAGGTCCTGAGAGGAGAGAAAGTGAGTGAGGCTTCATTACAACCTCCCAGCTCCACGAGAGCAGCAGAGGGGCCCTGTGTTATGAATGCAGACCCTGGTCATGTGAACAGACACACCAGCTCCAATTACACTGACAGCAAATACATCATGTGTACATGCACTAGGAATAATGATCAAACATGAAAAATTAGTATGCTTTGGTGATTTGTGGTAACTAAATGCATGTAAAGTTAATCAGGTTTATTTTGAGGAAAACAATATTACTCATGCAAATGTTTGAAACAGTATTTGTGAAAGTACCGCCTTTGGAATAATGTCATACCACATCGATTTTAGAAACTTGTCAGCATTCAAACTATATGGGTATTTTAACCACCTTTGGGGCAAAATACTTTAAATATGTGCTTTTTTAAAATAATTCGGAAAAGAAAACTTTAAAATCATTATTCATACCTTGCCCGTATTTATACTCTTTATACCACGGAAGTGGAGTTTTGCAAAATATAGCCAAAGTATTATTAATCAGCTGTTTTTTGTTGACAAAAGCTTTGCAGGTATCTTACTTAACTGAAAAAATAACAGTGAAAATTAAACATTACTCACTAAACATTTGATTAGCAGCAGATGTTAGATACAGGAGTAAATGTATGATCGTCAACGGTGTCATTCTTCAGAATACCTGTTTTTTTTGTTATTACAACTTGTGAATAGCTTGCCTTTTCCTTTTCAGGTCTGACACCTATTATTCACATTTAGAGGTGGGCGATATGGCAAAAATATCATATCACGATACTTTTATCACAATACACGATATGTATCTCAACATTTTAAGGCACAGACACAATATGTTGGTAAAGCCACATTTAATAACTGCCATCAAAAACTCACAATGACTTCTATTCAACATTTACATAGTGCATGACACTAAATCCAAATAAACAGGACTAATTATACTCTAATTCAATGAAAAACACATTCGGTTAGAGTGCCTCAAGTTGTTTATCATGATAACAAAATTTAGCATGGTAATGATAAAATATTACCATACGGCCCACCTCCATTTACACTGATTCACAGACAAATTTTGGCCCTCGTGGACATCCTGGTTCACACTGTTTTATTAAGAGTCACTAAATTGGGCAAAAATGGACGTGACATTTAAAATTTAATATAAAACGTGTGATACATACTAAGTTCTCATTGCCTGATAGCATGAGCTGTTTTCATTTACTGAGAAAAACAATTCTGCTCTTGCCTTCCCATTTTCACTCTAATATTAATCATCATCATAATATTAATCATCCGGCACACAATGTCTGATAATCCATGTGTGGCTGTTCCACTGTCCACAGGGACCTGATTAGCCTGAACTGCTTGTTCAGGAGCACTTGTCTCAGTGCCCATGGTGACACTCTGAAAAAAGAAAGGCCCCCTGCCCCAGTTACCACACTAGTCACTTTGGCTGGCATAAACAGGTAGGCATCCAGATAAACAACCACGCGTGCAACTTTACAGCCTGAATTTCTAAAAACAGCTCTGCAGGGGGCCAGGAGCAGCCAGCAGGGTTATTTCTGAAGGCACAGGGAGAGAGAAGCTCTTCCGGGTTGACAGGATGAAATGGAAGAGAATGAAAGGATGTTGAGAGGATATCCTAAATGTTGCCTGCTTGTTCAGTAGTAGCATTTTGATGTAAAGATGACTCATCAGGGTTTGTTTTGGGTGATACAGCCATAAGCATAGGATGAACAACAGCCTTTATAAGGGCTGAAGGTTGCTGCATAAGCATGCTTAAAGGACAAATTTGGACATATAGCAAATCTCATTTAACTTACTTGACAAGGAATTAGAGCACAGAGAAAGATTTAGAGAGCTTAATATTAATTTTTTCGTGCAAAAAAAAAGGACTACATATTTGCCTGCCTTCAAAAGGTCCAACTAGTGTCAATATTACTCACCAATGAATCCCTTTTTAGCAAGCTCAATAGTGAATCTTCTAGTGATTTTCTCCAACTCATTGTCCTACACAGCATCAAAAGAGAAAAGAACAAAACTGAATGAGTTCAGTTTATTACAGACACAGAGCTCAATGAAAGTGCCCCTCTCACTGGTATCACTGACAGAAACATGATATGAGGTGAAGAAGGTCTGAAAAGGCTGTTGTTAGCAATCAAGAACAGATGACTAGCAAACTATTAAAAATGCTGACTGTCAAGCCATAAACAATCGAGAAGTCAGCTATTTTTTTTCCACCTTCTCTTGAGACTCCAGCCATAAAGCTAAGGAAAAGGGAAATCCGTATCTCAGATCAGCACTTTCATCCTGAAGGGCACAAAGACTGCATAGCTTGCAGTGCAAAATTTCAGATTCCACTTCTTTAACATTGTTTTGACCAAATATGGTCATCAGAGGCACTCATGGGAAAACTATATAACCTCTACACAATCACTGGCAGTTTGGTTTTGCTTTTCCTTAATGGTTTCAGGCTTTACATGTTACAAAACACACAAAACAGCATTTACATTTTGGACCAGAGACTGAACGGTGGGCTGAAGAAACATGGCAAGTATAGAGGTCCAAATGCATCTCCTCTCCTTCTATACTGATCTCTACGGCATTGTGCCCCATCAAGTGAGAGAAAGAGAGATTACGTAACATGCATAATGGATATGACAGGGAGAGGGAGATGCATATCGAGGCAGTGTGGCATCATCATGCAGTCTACCAGAACAAATACACAGAGATCAACCAAATAAGGGCACTTTATTATGCATTCAGGAATACAGCCAATTAGGGCATAGAGTATGAGAAAGGGAGATTCATGTAGAGAGCAAGCTGCCCATAGTCTAGAGACAGCCTGCAGACATGTACAGCATACAGCCATTTATAAGCCCCCTTTTGGTGCACTGGATAATCAAATAACAAAAGCTATTTCAGGAGCACAAGAGAGTGAGGGAAATGGTGTTAGTGCTCACACAGTCTGAGGAACAAGCAAGCTTTGGTGCATGCCCTTTTCCCAGGAGTGTGGTACTTACAGAGTAATTTCTGGGGTTGATTTTGACTCCAGCTTTAGCACCTCCAAATGGCACATCTAGGGAAAAAAATAAAAGTAATTCAAGTAAGTCAGTTACATGAACATGCTTGATAGACAGTAAATTAGCATCTGAATATAAATAGGAGCTGAAGTGAAGTGCATGCAGAACCAAACTCTATATAATGTACGAGCAGAATGTGATTAAACATCATATTGATACATATGCACAGCAGCTTACCCACAACAGCACATTTGTAAGTCATTAGTGAGGCCAAGGCTTTGACCTCATCCACAGACACATCCATGCTGTACCTGATACCTGCAAAAAGAAAAGTCAGCACAGCATTATTACTGGGTCCAGTGTTACAGGGTAATCAATCTGGTTGAATTCTGAACTGAAACAGAAGAAGACAGAGACTTTTCACTGAAGTTTATTCTAAACTTAGCTGAGGTTTTATTCTTATTCTACTGGTGCTACTTTCATCAGTGACTATGAACACATCAAATCATACTAACAACTAAAACGCACCACACAGTAGTGCACTTGGACTGAAGACAATCTAAATTTAAAATTACATTGCAATTAAAATGTGTGTCTCTTTCTACTGAAAAACTGGGGCTAGGTTATATTCCATCAAAGCAGTCAATGAGATGATCTAGAGCTGCAGCAAAACAATATTAATGTGTAAAATATTTAAAAATGAACATGATAAACTATGTTCATGCAGCAGGTCACATTTTGCTGGGCAACCGCTCCTTCTTACCCTGCTACAACGCCAGCTAGACTAATCCAACGCCCTGCCATGCTATAAATAGTGGCAGGATACACCAATTCTCACTTCTGTGAAAGAAGGTGTTCTGTAGAAGCACAATTCAGTTATAGAAGAGAGATGGAAAAAGGTCATCAAGACCATTCATGCTGGCTGAAACAGGATTCTACAGTCAGAGCTACAGTTGTCTCATGGTGCCTTGTGGGTATCTGACACAGCAGATTCAACTCCACGCAAAATGCTGCCATGTTGACTGCCTTAAGTGCACAGTGGTCTAGTTTTAAAATGAGTGTGCTGTTATCCCAAAATGTTTCAATGCACAGTCCAGTTATCCTGCAGAGTGAGGGTCCTAAATAAGCTGCAGAATAAATGAGAGAAACTGATCATTATAACTGGTCTAATGCTGCCTTAAGTTTATAGGTCTGTTAGGCTACAAAGCTACAAAATATGTCACCCACTCTACAAACCAACAGTACAAAATGTTCCAAGCTGTAAACTGAGATGAAAGCTCAGAAGCAAGTGAGCTCCCTGCATGAGTTGGAAGTATCCTGCGCGTATATGTGTTGGCCTAAAGCAGCAACACTCTTCACCAGCTTTAGCACTCCGTCATTTTCCTCTAGCAAACTGCATCATGAATCCTAATAAATGTCTGCGGTACAGCCGGCATGCCACACAAGCCTGGTATAACCAATCAATTTTCAAAGGGCTTCAACAAGCAGCATCAAAGAGTGCCATCACCGTTTGTCCCTGGAGAGAAATGAGCCAATCAGCAAGATATGACACTTGGTTATACCTTCATTAGTATCTGAAACAACACCAGTACTGTATTCAAGCCTGGGCGAGAGATGGGCAATATGGCCAAAATATGACATCACGATACACCAAAACATTTCCATGATACAAGACAAGCATCGCGAGATTTTGTTTTTCTGAGGTTTTGGTCCATTTGAAGAGACAAAAACCCCTCAGCAGTGCCACACTTAAAAATACAACCAAAAACTATGAATATGAAGATTTTTGTTCAATATTTCACTGCACCAAATCCAGTTAAACAGGCCTACTGTTGCTTTTTGCAATAAAATATGCAGATGGTCAGTGTTCTTTAAGTACTGAAAAGCATACTGCGACTTAATTTATCACAATAGTAAAGAATATTGTCATATTGCCCACCCCTAGCCTGCCTGATATACAGAGGCTTAATATAAGCAACTAAAAAATCATTATTTGAAATCATTTCATATAGTCAAATATAAACCTAAACATACTCCAACGGTTTAGTCCTGCCCATAGTCATTATATCCAAACCTAGACTTTCAGTTATTTTCCATGTAATTATTCTTTTCCATGCACACCATAACACAGAGCAGCAGCCACAAAACAAAACTATTTGGACCAATTCAGGTTCCAACATTTATAAATTCTTCAAAATTACATGTTAAAAACCACTCTGTACAAATGTGTAGCTTTACGTGCATGGTAGAATGGTGTACTTTAAGAGATACAGAGAGAGGGAGGGAGAGAGGAAAGGAGGGACAGGTCGAGAAGTACAAAAGGAAACAGGGAGAAAGAGACATGACTCAGCACTTCTGTTTCTCATCCACTGTGTTCTCCCTATATGATAAAAGATATAGAGTAGACAACAAGCCCAGACCATATCTCCATTCAGATAGCAATCATATCCTTAGTCTTGCTACAATCTTCTGAGTTTCATGTGTTTTTATGTCTCTTTTTTAATTCATTTTCCGTTGCCTTACTCGTCAAAATTCTGCTGACTGTATGATTTATTCGCTCACATACATGAACAGGACAAAACGCAGAAATGAAACAGCTTTTGTATGTCAGTGTGTGGGTATTCCAGACAGTTTGAGTGCTGCAATTGCACTTTACAGTTTGTACTCAGCCTTGTTCAGTATGTCAGCCACGGTGGCAAAACGAGTTTTCCTAGCGATACTCCTTAAATCAATAAGAGCAAATGTCTCTGACAAACACTTCAATGATTAAGAGACTATCTAACTTTGTAGTATTTGGCAGCATGAATGAGTTTCTGAAGAGAAGCTGCTACAACACACTGAAACAAATAGAAAGTAGAAACAAGTAAAACCTGAAAATCAACCTTGTCCAGGGGTTAAAACAAGGTTTTAAAAACTACGACACAGCCTATACACCAAGACTATTACCCTAATGTGCCAGACACCTATGTACGCTTGCTAATGCTGTATTTCTGTCAGGCAGCTGACAAATAAGAGCACCTGCCCTCATCGTCCAGTAAATGCACCCTTCCCCCCAGCTGCTTCCCACCCTCGGAAAACTCCCCCTGGATTGGCTACGTCACCCCACCAACCCATAATTTACCCATAAGCCACTGCTAAGACACTCCTCCTACACTTCATATCCTCCACCTTTTGATCTGACCATTGATCCTGAACATCTGAGCAACATTTTTTCAGTGAATGCAGTTAAGAGGATGCAATTCAATCTGCTGCAGAACTCAGTTATTTATAGACAGTGATAAGGACATAAGGGCCTTCCACTCCAGATATTCTTATGGTGCTGCAGACGGCTCACATGTTCTGCAGCCAGTTTAACCACTCATTCATTTGCCTGCACACATTCATCACCAATTATCATGCTATTCTCAGACAAAACAGAATTAGCATTAGATGAATGAACAGCATAACTGTAAAGTGATCTAATCTTTTAAGTGATTGTATCTAGAAGAGGAGGCTTAACTCAAATAAGCTATAAACTTGTCATGAGGGCAAATGAGTGTCATACTAAACAGGCAGGCCAATAACAGAACAATATATAATCTTTTTATTTTACTAAGGGATTAGACAAAGTCACACAAAAAGTTGTTATTCCTTGCTTAAATTGGCATTTTTAGTTCTGAAAAGCTACAAATAATACATCTAACCACTTTTAAATAATAATAATAAAAAACACATGCTACACATAGGCTTGCTAGCCAAGGGGCTAATAGCTGTGCCAACCTGCCAACTCTTTCTGACTTGATATTCACGCTAATAGACACTATATACATTTAGATACGTGGCTCTGGTTTGTAAAATAATACAATGCTAGCCTAATTCTAATAAAACTATTAAATTTCAGTGACAAAAAAAACTTGCTAGCTTGAGACTCTAGGTTAGCTAGTTAGCTAGCCTCCTTGACAGCCCCAGCTGTTGCAGAGTCGCTCTTCTTCCTCTAAGCTGTCAAGCACTTGTTCAGGTTTGGTTCCTAACACTGCTGCTTTACTTAAAAGAAAGCCAGAGCATCGGATACATTTCGAGATTTCTTACCCCCCTTGCAGGGAGTTCTGTGCTGGCTGTGCTGTGCTCGGTAGCCCTCGATAACCTCCCATTCTCCGTTGTCTCGCTTGATGGGGAACGACACGCTAAGGACGTGGTTGCACGGCTTGATGATCCGGAGGATCCCCCTCACTCGGTGCCTCTTCTGCTCGGATGATTCCCTCGTCTTCAAGTCCTCCACCAGCTTGTTTTCTACTATGGCAGCGCCGCGGTCGAAGAAGCCCTCCACCATCCTGAAGAAGTTGGGGTCGTCTTCTTTCTCTGCGGCATCGCTGTAGTGGCGTATCCGCGCCAAAGACGAGGAAGCCGGTAGAGCAGACTCGACGCATCCCGAGGCCAGGGCACTGCCAGCTCCGCGGCTGAGGAGCTCTCCAAAATACCGGTACATGGCGACGTGTGGAGGGGATACGCGGATTTTCCGAAAGAAAAAGACGACAGGGGTGCCAAAGAGATGTATGAGGGAAGCGAAGAAAGGAGGGGGAAGTGAACGAGAGCGAGAGCACACGACCTGTTCAGCCTGCCTCGTTCAGAGTGGCAGAGCTCATGCCGCCCCCTTTGCTTTAAAAGGCAGCATGAAGTCCGGCGGAGCAACGCAGGCAGATAGAGGGTCAGATGGGGGCACGCGCTGCGGGGAGGAGGATCCAGCGCAAAATTTGAATAAAAAATTGCATAATTATTACTAAATCTATATGCATAGTACTGTGCAAACGTCTTAGGCATCTAAGTATCTTATTTAAAGCCATGTATCTTGGCAATAGGTGTCTCACCATACCATTTATCCATTTTTTAAAAAAAATTCTGTGTAATTTATATATATATATATATATATATATATATATGTATACACATGTGTGTATTCTAATTCTAGTTGTACTACTTGATATTAAACACACACAAATATATATATATATATATATATATATATATATATATATATATATATATATATTTGTGTGTGTTTATTATCAAGTAGTACAACTAGAATTAGAATTACAGTTACACAATGTATGGTGTGTCTTTTCTTTTGCTGCTGCTACACACATCATTCATTCACAAGGCCTAGTAATTCTCTTGCTTGGACATGTCTCAGACAAGTGGATTCTGACAGTTATTGCTTTATTGTCTGCAATTCATTGATTTAGTACTGACCTCAATTGCAGTGTTCTGTTTAATTTCTGTATTTCAGCCGAAGGTTTCACTTATCCTCAGTCAGGCCATGTGGGTAGGGCTCAGTTACCAGTCTTGTTCTAATCAGTGGCTTAGATAAATCAAGGAAAGTATTAATTTACAATAGTGTGTGGAGAGATAAGAGCAACAGCCCTAAGGCACTGTGAGGCAAGAATGTGAAATACTGCACACCACCTGTCTTTCACATACTGCATTGTGTGAACATCACAGGTCTTATTCAATGCTGCAAGTGCACAATATGCGGGGAGCTTGAAGGCCACACCTATTCTTCTGAAAAGAGCAAAGGAGGACCTGTATGTGTTATTTTTGCCAGTCAAATCAAGTCATCGCTTCAGAGGTCTGGGGGTCTCAAAACATTTCACTCAGTGTCCCACTTAAAGACAGAAGGTGGGGCAGGTGCTCATGGAATGACACCTTAGATCCTGTTATCGGGTTATAAAGGGTAGTAGTACTGATCCAGGTGTTTCATTCCCATTGGTTAGTTATTTAACATTAATGATTTTATCTAATTTGTCAGACAAGACTGTTCACTCACAGTTTATTTGTGAGACCCAATCAGATCAAGGCCTGCAATGATGGCAGTAGAGCTCAACATGGTGTGATTACAGACTCCTTATACCTGCGAATCACAAAGACATTAATGTTCTAAGCTATTCAATGAATCATAAATTAACAGGGCAGTTTATAATCCACAGCATAAAACCCTGCAACAGATTGTTCTATGACTAATGGTAAGATTAATTATGCATTCGGTGAACAGTGTAGACAGTAATTGTGCTTTGCTGATGCTGACTACACTGATTTTTTGCACTGACCGTACGTTGCCCTGCTGGACTCTGCACAGCAGATAAGATAGGAATTATCCCTATAGAACATGGTACAAATGCAACCTGCTCAGGTTGAGAAAATAAGCAAATATTAACCGGCATGAAGCTGCTGGGATGACATTAGGGTAAACCAGATAGAGCCTGCAGTCTTAAAGGATTACAAAGCGGCAAGCTTTTCATCACACCTTGGATTGCACACATAACAGCATAACAGTGATACCGAAAGCCAGTATCAGCAATTCAACCTGTGAAGACCGGTTCTGTTCAGTTTGTTTGGCAATTCCACAAAGGAGAATATCTAAAATACTGATTTCTTCTTATTCTTTTTTGCTTTTGGGCACCTGTGCCATCACCTTTACCATCATAAACACAACACTATGATTTACATTTTTGAAAAGGTCTGGTACATTTTCTGTGATCCTCTAAAGATGCAATGAGGTCTTTCAGAATAACATGAAAGTGTGAAGCTAAAGGTTATTTTGTCTGGACCTCATGTAAGCTCAGGAGCATTATATCAAAAACTATTGATTGCAAATAAACTGACAGACCTCACACTTTTTCTTTCATATTGATTATGCATTTATAAATCTTTAAGCAAAGCCATCTTTGGGGCTACCAAACAAGTCCCAGTCTCTTTCATCTCTTCTTAGGGGTAAAGACTGAAATAGTTTATTTGAGTCAAGGAGTGGTAGGATCTCTGCTGTCATAGGAGAGGCAAGAGGAAAAGTAAGAATTAGATATTACCAGTGCTAAAGAGTTATAGTTTTAAAATCAAAAAATTCATGGAAATGTTGCATGTGTTTGGTGCCTGAAGTTTGCTTCTTTAGTTTTGCAGCACACCAGCAAGGCTAATGTAGCAATGTACAAATATATAGAAAAACATAGGCCTGTGACAATCATGACATTTTAGATGATTGATTGTCATATAAATAATTGCAATCTGTGCAATTTTTGAGAGTGAAAATGTAAACAAATAAAAAAATATTTTACTTAATGCTAAAAATGTTAGAATTAGCTACAGAGATACCAAAGAAACAAATATTATTCATGCTGCCATCTAAATGTTAGTTCACCATGTTAGTCCTATGATGTGTCTCAGTGAATGAATTTACTGCTTTCTTTTATTTACTTTTATTTGCCTTAACCCAACGCACCCAATTAACATCTTACACAGTATGATTGTAGGATCAAACAACTGTGAAAAATGACTGCAGTCAGCCTAAGTAACTGGGATCCTCTTAAATTGCGTTTTTGTAATTATGTAATAATTGTGAAAGGCCTACAAAAATGGAGGCTTCAATATGGCTGATCTACAGTTTTTAAATATGCTTAAACGTACATTTGTTCATTTTTATAGATAGCTGGATGTCTGTCAACAACTCACTGTGGTGAGACAATGCTTATTGGTAAGACTCAAATTTACTTGTTAGCTACAATAGATTAATAGCTCCATTGCAAAATCAAAGACATAAACTTTGGACACCCAATTTGTCTTGGCTGATTGTCTTTGGACACCCAATATGTCTTGGCTGAACTGTTCTTTTAAATTTTTTACAGGCACTAAACATTTCAGGTGTCCAGTTCCTATTACTACCACTCTGAACAATTCTGACTTGTTGAGTCCTTTAGAACGGAACGTCTTATATTAAACCATAGTAAATGACTTTGTGAGGATCTTAACAATTTAATTATGATGAAATTTTAGAATTGGTGGAATTACCCTTTGATACAAATTTTTCATACAGTAATTGTATATGAAATAGGAGATGATGAGAGTTGAGTAATATTCTGCACCTTTCCGCTCATTCATTACCCCATGAAAAGAGGAAGAGCCATAAAGATAAAGCTGACTCCCATTGCACCTTGAGCTAATGCTAATGCTTTATGAGCCTGGCCACCTGGAGCTGCAGTCAGGCGCATGTGAAGGTATGATGAAATCGCTGATCTGACCATAAAATTAGCTTATGTTCATCACCCTTTAACTTAATGTACTCTAATATACTGGTTCATATTAATGTACAGTATGGTTTGTAAATATTTAATTTCTAGCAAAATATGAGAATACATTAAAATAGTAATAAAAGAAATGATCTGACACTACCTTTACTCAACCTATTATCTGGATTGTCTGATTGCAAATGGGACATGATGTTTTTATCAAGGGGGACCCTCATAAAGGGAACACTCCCAGTCTGCTTCGGCCTTTCTGCTCTCTGCTCTGTTGCTCTCCTGTTCAGTGGCATGCCACTATGGGGACGTGCAATCATTTATCATGGTCATGTTTCAAAGAGCGGTGTGCAAGCACAACATTGGCTCCCGCGCAGACAACACCCACCATGTGGTTGGCTGAGGGGGGAGGTGGGGAGAGTGTAACTTCTCTGCAGTCACGTGCTTCTATGACACTCATGCTGTAGGACAGGACAATTCACGTGAAATGCCCAGTTCTACTTCTGAGAATTTTAATGCATCTTCCCTGCCATATTTTCTATTAAGAGTTTTTTCTGGTAATGATATGAATACTAGTACTCCACTTGCTAGAGCATGAAGAAACTGTTAGCTTGGAACCTTCGAGTTATAATAAGGAAATGAAAAGGAATAATACACAGTTTCACAGTTCAGCTCTAAACTCCAAATACATCATTGTGTATTATTCCTTTTTATTTCTATTTAGATAAATATGGAAAACAAAGCATACAATTAAGGAGAAGGAAAACAGAATAAAAACCCAATAAAGAATCAATGTATGCCTGATGAAGCAGGCTACGTTTAAGTAAAATAAGTTTAAGTGTAAGTAAGAGTAAGTATGTGATGCTAAAGCATTTAAGATCAACACAAACCATTCATGTGCTCTGTATTTGATTATAACTTTAAAAAAATATATGGGTAACTTGATCACACTGTACATAATTGAGTTGCGCCAACTGAGTCATTTGTCCAACGTATTCATCTGCAGATTATAATTTTCTGGGGAAGAAAAAATCAAGGTGACCTCTAAGTGACCTCTGAGCCTGGCATGATTCAGGAATACTCTCAAATGAAAGCTTAAAGCTTATACAACATACGCATATGCATGTGTGTGTGTGCACTGGGGTGGTGGTGGTGGGTGGTGGTGTCCCTGAGGTATACATAGGCACAGTCATGTGATTTTCAAGCATTTGGCATTTCACAGACTATGCTAGTTTGGATGGTGGCAGTAATGCTGAATTCCTTTCTACAGCAAACTCACCAGTGCCAACATGTGTTGATCAGTTTTTCTTCCTGTGTCTCTTAGAGTCTGCACTAGCCATGCAAAGAGCTAAAATAAAGTCTCACAAGGCTCACTTGTCATGAGTTTCACTGTAACTTCAGGCTATCTAAATTTGATAGTTTAACTGTGAACCTGAAAGCTGGAACCCAGAGTAAAAAGTTGAAAATGTTTGTTTGATGCTAAAATTGAGTGTTACATTAAACATGCCCATACCATGGGCAAAGCAAATTGGGGGTAAATCCTGTCTTGTCTTGCTCCAGTAGTTATTTAATTTGCAATCCAAGT